TCGGTTCTATACTGACCGAGACATAAACCTCTTTCAACACCAGTTTTGTATAGAACCGAAGCACTAGATCACGTGTTAGGCCAAAACTCAATTTTGCAGAGGTGCAGGTAACTTTTTCAGAAAGTATTAGGCACCGGTTATAATTTTAACTGAGGTAAGATGCTCTATATGCTTAGGATATTCTTAAATCGGTACATATAAGTTTGTAAAAACTACAAGATTGTCATCGCCTTCAGATAAGCTTTAGTTTTTCTTTGACCGAAGCCTATTAGACGAGTTCAAAAACATATTTTTTACTAGTGAATATTACCTTTATGCTTCAATTTTGGTAATAGCTTAAGTCTATTTTAGGATTTTTTTTTTAAATAATTTTTTTTTTTGTTTTTAATTTTGCCTAGATATCAAACTTGGACAGAATTAAAGTGAGAGTCAGATACAACAATATGAAATCAGACACAACCAAAACATATTATAAATGATACCCAACAAGATATATTTATAATAAGATTGTAAAAGTTATTTATATTACATTTATAATAATAATAGTTTTTATTGTATTAAATAAATTAAATATAAATATAGACGTAAAGAGTGTATTTCTATTAGTAAATGTGTTTCCCTTTTAAGAATAAAGTAAATAATATTTATAAGAATGATGCTATTAAATGCTACCGAAATTACTTTATTTTTATATTTAAGTCTATCATGCATGAGGTGTGTTTCTTTTTTTATACATGAGTTCATTAATTAATATATTTTACTAACATGGACTAGTTTAAGTTTTTCTTCCCATGCTCAAAAAGAATTGTTACATATTTAAAAAAGAGAAAACTTGTTTTTATAACATTTAATTCATAAAATGAAGCATAAGAAATTCCCAACTATTACATCGAGAAAACATAGTTTAAAGTTATAGATAATACATACATTATTTAAATCGAAAAGCATCGTGTCGTTGTAGTATAGTGGTGAGTATTTCCGCCTGTCACGCGGACGACCCGGGTTCGATCCCCGGCAACGGCGAATGTTTTTTTATCTTTTTCGATTTTTGATTAAAATTCATTCCACTAAGCGCGTTTGGATCCATCCTAGAAGTAACAGAAATGATTCTAATAAGAATAACCAGTACCAGTTCCCCAATAATCACGATACAACATAACTAAACTTAATCTAACTTAAAATGAGATACAAGTACAAAAGATGTCTCAGAATAGTTAATAAAATAAAAATTATTAGAATCAAACGCGCTTTGCAGGTGTAAACTGACTTTCAATCAAAATTGGATAAAAACATAAAGCTTCGCCGTTGCCGGGGATCGAACCCGGGTCGTCCGCGTGACAGGCGGAAATACTTACCACTATACTACAACGACTTAATTATTAGAGTCTTGAACTAAACAAATTTAGCTAATTATTAATGTTTTTCAACATTTGATTGTTGTTTAATTTTTACATAGAGATCTTGGAACAGATTCTTTCGAACCTGAATTCGGTAATATTCTGTATGGTGTATTATACAGATTCTTCTAATATTGAAAATTTAATTTTTGTTTATATATTCGTTTTGTCTTCAAAGTTCCACTAACTAAATAAGGGTCTTAAATGGGCTGCGTGTTAAAGAATACAATAGTTTCCAATTTTCAAAGTTATTTTAATACTAATAATATATTAACATATTATCTTTAAAGAAATAAAAAAATTTCACACGAAGTCTCGTTTGTTTTTAAATCCTCTGTTTAAAATAAAATCAAATTAATAATTAAGTCTAATATAACTTGTATATCTATCTTTTTATATATCAAATTATTCTATTTAAATATTAAAATTAATTTTATTTTTTAATTTAAATTTAAAAAAAAAATACTTGTTTGAAAGTTATAATTTCTTTTAAAATTTTGATCAATGTTTACGGTTTATCTTGTTTGATCTGATAATCAAATTGACTATTAAGTGCAAGAACCAACTTATCCTTTAAAGAAAAACAAAATCAAAATATTAAAAAATGTAAATGTAAAATTTTTCAAATACTAATTTTAGAAAACTAGTGTATTTTTCTTGTTAGTTTATTTATAAATTTAATTTTTCTAAACAAAAGTTAATTATAATCACGATTCTATAAGAATTTTTATATATTATGAGTTTTCTACCTGAGATACTCTTCTTCAACTTCAACTTCTAGGTATTTTGAAATGTTCACAAGTACATATATAGTTTCAGTTCAAAGGAGGTGCGCAAAAAAACATTGTTATCCTTCAAGTCATTTATGTGTGTGAGGTGATAATAAAGTTGAATGAATAGGTAATTAATTATGTTGTGAATAGTATTATTTACATTGTTTATGAGTTTTTACTTAGTTAAGCCTAAACTACTTAGGCGATTACTTTGGTTAATTTGTTTAGGATTCCGTTAATCCATTTTATGACACAGAGTTTGACATGTGAAAAAAAAATTAAAAAAAAATTAAAAAAAAGATAAAAGTACTACAAACTAACATATAATATTTACAAAATACGACTTTAATGGAGGTTATACAAATATAATGGAAAAGACTAAATTAATTCAATTTAAAACAAAATGGAACTAATTGAACAAGAAGAAGGTGATCAAAATGAGTAAAAACAACAAAATTTGGGACGTGTTACTTTATTTTTTGTCTTTGTTATTTATTTTACTCGACTTTCTACCACCACCTCTGTTCCACCACAACTCGCTTATAACATAATCAACCATGATATAATGCTTCATAATGTAACATTTTTTCCCGTTTTACTGTTCTATTGATCAAAAGAAATCCAACACTATTGCAAGATTAGTACAAAGAAGATAAAAGAAGGAGCCAAATGAACTCAATTATTACATGAAATAAGCTCAAATGAACTTCTCAACACATACACATACTTACATGACAGAGAAAAAAGGGAGAAAGGGAAAAAGGTAAACAAAAACCCCTAAGAGAAGGGAAAAGAAGGGAAATGAGTGGTGGAAAAGAGAGGAAGAAGAAGAAGGTAATGGAGGTGGATTGTAGAGGAGAGAGGGAGAAAGGGGAAAAAGTGGGAGAAGGTGATGAATGGTGGAGGAAGAAAGAAAAAAAAAATCAAGATTAACACAATGATTATCTTCTAAATAATGTGAATACAAATATAACAGAAGAAATTACATTAAATCTTTTTAAACACACTAATGCAAAAGATTGATTCAATGACGACTTAATAAGTTGACGAGTCTTGTCATAATAAGTTAAGTAACAAATTCGTAATAAAGACTTAAACTTATTATGATTGGTGTAAGCGCACTTATCATAATAATTTCATCCGTGCATAATTTTGTAATCAAATAATTAAACTTACCGTTACTGATTGTAAGTTTAGTAATTTCAAGTAATATATTAAGTTTTAAAGTTATTTCAAATGTCCACAAGTATACATCTTTTTAATAATAATAATTTTTCGTATATTAATGAAAATCTTAAATGTTCAATTTAAACACATAGTTTGATTATATAACAAGATTACCTATGTTTTTAATTCTACATTAAATTCGAATTTGTCAATATCTCAAAATATTATTTCTCAAACTTTGAAAAACGATAAATATAATTTTTCTAATCTAACTAAGTTAAATCTTTTTTACATGTCAAATATATTTCAAAATGATATTTAAATCATTTTGATAAGTTCCAACACAAACTTCAGTTTGATACACAACTTAACAAACTTTACAAAATTAACAAAATTAATTTTAAAAAATTATATCCATTCACTTTTAAAATTTAAAACCAAAATATATCAAAATTTTAAATAAAATAAAATTCTAATTTAACTTAAATTTTAGAAATTAAAAACTTGTATTATATCATATTGTCTTTATATATATAATTATTCAGAGTTCTTTTCACAATCATTAATCTAAAACATTTAATAAATATTTCTTTATATAAATTAGAGCTAACTTATAGGTACATTAAAGTTTCTTTTATTTAAAACTTTAATATAATATTCTATAAATTCATTTATGTATAGTTGTAACTTATAATTTTTTAGGTTTTCTTTTTATTTTAACACGTTGAGAATATATATAATTTTTTATCTAATATCCTTAGAGAAAAACGCAATACCAATATTTTATAAAAGATTTTTTTAAGAGAAGTATTAATTAGAAACATATTTGTCTGTAAAATACGCTAAAAAGTAATAAGAACACATTTTGTAATGTTGGTCGGAGTTTATTAAAATTTAGAAAAAGAAAATTATAGATCCAAAACCGTATTTAATGTATCTGTCCTTTTTTGGTCGTCAATAAATTCTCAGCAATAAAAAATGTGTCAGAAAGAGTTTCGAACATTGCTCTTTTATTTAGTAAAAACGTAGATAGCCGAGACTGAGCAACAATATAAGAATAAAGAGGATCGAGTTAAAATAAAATAGACATGCATATTAATTTTGTATTTAGTTTTCAAATGAAATTTACTTTTAACATGCAAACTTCATTTATATTTTATTTTTAAAATGAATAAAAGCATCAATATATTAAAATGAGTAAATTAATAGATTTGCAATTTAGAACTGCAGATTTGGAAACCTATGTTAAATTCTGCTATTTAAAACTAGACTTGAAAAAAAAAACAGTTATTAATTATACAATCTAAAAAAGATACAATTAAAGATGTTAAACGTTAATTTTATTTTTTTACATATTCACATAAAGTTCAAGAAAGTGTGCTAAATGAAATATCGTTTTTCTGTTTAGATTCTCTATTTTCCAATAATTTTTCTTTTTCTTCAACCCAATTATTTCCCCTGTTTCAAGCATAACCACATTATTAATTTATTTTATATTAAATAATATTTTAAAAAATCTTTAAAATTACTTTTCATCTTTTCTTAATTATCCATGAAAGTTAAATACCTTATTACAATTATTATATTATTAAAATAAAAAAATAATTTTAAATTAACTTGATCCAAACTTTTATTTTTTATTTTTTATTCATTTATTTATTTTCTCTGAAATGTCTCACTTTTACTATTTTCTCTAATTCCCTTTGACTTGCATCACAAACCCACATTTCCTCGCTCTTTCTCTCTCTGCCCCGTCATGTACAACTTCTGAGTTCCTTTTTGCATCTCTCAAATTTTCTTACAATCTTTTTTTCTCGGAGGTTGGCGACGTTTTTGTACTTGCTGCCGGTGAGTTCCATATTCTGCATACGCGTTTTCATTCTTCTTTTTCGTCTTCTTAATTTCATTTTAGCAATTGCTTGTGTTAGTTCGTTAATTTGGTTTAAATGCTTTGTGTTTGATGCAACTGTGTTTCAAGTTGTTGTAGGTTTCTTTTCTTGTTATTTTTTACATTGTGTTTTTTGTGCACAGAAAAAAAAACGAGTGTTTACAGAGTTCCCGATCTTTGGGAATTCTGATAGGATGATATGATAATGTTCATGATTGTGTGAGAAATTTGGGTTGTCAGTAATGTGGTGAAATGAAATGGATTAATTTTGAGAGTTTGTTTTGTGGTGCTAATTTGATGGTTGTACTCATAATTGTGTGTTGTAATTTGTAACGAAGTTTATGAGCAGAGTTCTTATTATACAGAGAAAGTCTGTTTCACGAATAATTCAAGAGATGAAGGTGAATTCAAATGATAAATGTAACTGAAAAACTAATCATAGTACCTAAACTAATTATTTATTCTATATAACAGCAAACTTTATGTAACAGAAAGATATTCTGTCATTCGAAAATGTTGTTGTCTATATACTGCTTTGAGGTTTGTTGTTGAACAATATGCCATTATGTGTAATTGGCTTGATGGTAAAAGTGAAAGGGAGGGAGGGATAGGTAGTGGGTTTGAGTATTCCAATTAACAAAATCTAAATTCTAACAAATAACATTTAAAAAAGGAAAATTGTGTGGGGTGTATTTGGGTTATAGCTTATTGTGGTAAATAACTACCTTCTTTTGGTGGTTGCTGAGAGAGCTTTTTAAGAAAAAAGGTTTTGGAACAAAGGATCATGTAGTTATGTGTGAAGTAATGTATTGCGAATTAATAAGATATGCTTTGCGCATTGAAAAAGTTAACTCATTGGTATTTGTTTCCTCTTGAATCATTCCCTGGTACGAACCCGATAATTCAGAAATCTTGATTTGGACCTGAATAAAGGGATCGTATGAAGGAATTTATTTTTAATAATGGATTGAATCAACTATCACTCAATTACAGGTTATTTTGAAGAGGACCTTGTGCAGGCCATTCTATGTCTTCTGTTACAAATTCTTCACATGTACTACATAATAATGATGGGGTTCCTGGCCAAGGCTCTAAGATTCTAGGAAGGTAATACATTGATTCTTATAATACAACTTTTGATAAAAATTCCATCATTGTCGTATATTTACTCTTTCTAAGATTGTCATTATGTTCTGCAAATGTTGTGTTCATTTTCATACTTTATTTCTACATTTTTTAATGTTTTAAAAAGAATGATTGTTCTCATCTGTAGTCCAATCAACTGTGAATCAGTAAAATTTTGATCTTCAGTCTCCCAGGCATGTTTACGACCACCTGGATTTGTTAAAGGTCTTGGACATTCAATGTCATTTTCTTAATAATAAAAGAATACACTTTTAACTCAAAAGTCTCCTAAATTGACAATTGTTGTTTGCAAGCCGCCTGATATTGGGTATATTAAATTTAATATTGATGGTGCGACTTGTGGAAATTTTGGATTGGTGGCTTGTGCTAGTATTTTTTATGGTAGCAAAGGTAAATTTGAGGGGGGTTTATTCCTTTCTTGTCAATGACATTGCTCTTAAGGCTGAGCTTCTGGGAGCCATGTTAGTCATTGAGCTTGCAGGGTTAGAGGATGGAATTCTTTATGGTTGGAAAGTGATTGACAGTTGGTGGTTGAAGCATGTTGAAATCCTTCTATGGTTCCTTGGTTTATCTGAGGAAGATTGAAGTGTTGTGTGGCTTTGTGATATTTTGAATTTGAAAGTTCCTCACATTTTTAGGGAGGGAAATAGATGTCTTGATGATAGACTTGCTAATTTGGGGGTTGAGTTTAAGATTGAGATCATGTGGGTAGATGCCCTTCTTTCTTGTGTAAGTTTTGATATTTTAGAAATATGTTTGGTCTGCTAGGGTATAGATTTTCTTCATTCATAGGTTTTGTTAAGGCCCCCCCCCCCATGATTTTTTTTTGTATTGTTGTTTCTTTCTCTCTTGTATATACATATCCTTGGGAGAGCAGGTGATGAGATATGACGTGTCAACCTAGTTGGGATGTCATATTCTCTTAGTGATGCTTTCTTGAGTGACACCTTATTAGAGTAAAGGTATAAACTTTTAACAACGAATGTATTTACAAATAATTTGGAGGAAAAGGGTTCCACCTTAAGGAAGGTGATGTGGTGTTTCTGAGCTATCTTGAAAATTACAATCTGTTATGTTCAAGTTGTGATGTAGTAAATTTGATGCTTCCATTGTAGGCACAAATTTGAAACACAACTGACTCAGAGAAATTTCAAAAGCAATGATGCACACAATCACATCCAGGACCAAGATGCCACACCAGCCACGGTAATGAAGTAAACCAGTAAATTTTGTACAGGAGATTTTGGCAGAAAAAAATGCTAGAAGGCGTCACAACGCATTCATGCATTTTTTTTTCTTTGAAAGATACAAGGTGCTTCATACAATTCCAATCAGATTATAAGTTTGTTTGTAGGAACTTTATTCACGAGCAAGGGGGCAAGAAGAGGAGATCCTCTCCCTCCGTGAACAAATTGCTTTTGCCTGCATGAAGGTACAAAATGTACACGTGTCAGTTATGTCTATCTACATCTTCGGCTTTTGAGGAAATTAACTAAATTTAATGGCAGCAGGAACTGCAGCTGTTGAATGAGAAATGCAAACTGGAGAGGCAATTCTCTGAACTAAGAATGGTTAGTAAATTTCTTTGTAAATTATAGTTATATTTTAGCATCTTATATAACATCAATCTTAAACTTTGAATGTTACATTTTTATTAGGCAGTTGATGAAAAGCAAAGTGAAGCTATCTCATCTGCATCTAATGATTTGGCTCGCAGAAAAGGTTATCTTGAAGAAAATTTAAAACTTGCTCATGATTTGAAAGTAAGTATAGTTTCGTGATGTCAGTATGTTATTGACCCTCTGTTCATTATTTTATTGTTTTGTTGCTACTTTTATAGCTATTTTTTATTGGTAGAGATGGAATGCTACCATTACCTAGATACTTGAAGTTAGCTGGTGTCTTGATTCTACTGTGGCTGTTGATGTCGATTAATGGCTTTCTATTTTTTTTTAATTCATTTTAGAATGGACCCAAAATAATCTCTGCTTAAATTAAGTTCACAATTTATTTGCACACTAATTTTTTTTCTGCCGGTGCAAGTATAAGTTTTCGTTAAAACGCCTGAAAAAGTTAAGTTGAAAGAAAATTTGATATAAAAAACAATTTACATCAAGAAAGATTTAATCAGGTTATACTAATCATTTGGTTGCTGTAGTGACACTCATCTTGGACTCGGTTTCAATATGAAAAAATATATGTTGTAGTTCCTGTAAGGGCATATAGGGACTAAAACTTTAAAACTAAAGAATCATAATTACAGCAGGGACCAATGTGTTCGATGGAGTCAAACTTAATTTTTTTCCCTTATAGGGACTGATACCTAAATGAGTGTTCCCTATAGGGACCAAATGATTATTTTAACCATTTAATGCATTGATAACATCTTGAAAAAGAGAATGAATTTTATTATTTTCATTCATGTCTATTACATTCTTTTTACCTCTATTTGTAACAATCTAATCTTTTAAAAAAGGAAAATAAGAAAACAATATACTGAAAAATAAACTAGAAGATCCTACAAATATTTTCTCTAATTAAGAAGGTTCTATAGATATTTTCTCTAATATGGAAGATTTTCCTCTAATTACAACACCTTGTTCTCATTTGTAGTTCAAGTTCCCCACATTACTTCCATATCTCTAAAGCAACAAGGATTTATTCTAGGAAACTTTCTTGGAATCTTTCATTGAGTCTTCACTTAATTGAGCCAAATTTGTTATTAAAGGTTCTAAAATAACAAAGGAAATGATCAATTCATTATAAAAAAGATATTTTATTAAAATATGTGGTTGAAGTCATATATTAATAGAGATTATTTCCGTAAGTATACCAAATCAAGCGCTAGTTATATGCTTATTTTGCAGTTGATCAAATACTGTATGGATTTGATACACACATAGAACTTTCTTTATTCGTGAACTTCTGATTACTATTGTTGATGTATATGATTCTTATAGGCCGTAGATGATGAGAGATATATCTTCATGTCATCTATGCTGGGGTTGCTTGCTGAATATAGTCTTTGGCCTCGTGTTATGAATGCCTCTTCAATATCTAGCTGTGTAAAGGTATGAAATATGTGGTGATGTATATGACAGGTTAAACATTATAATGCATTGATCTTTTCCATGTCATGTCACTTGTTTCATGAATTTTTAAGTGACCTTTGAATGCCAATTTTTGTTTGAGCTGACAAAAAATTCTTGGACATGGATTAAGAAGGTTGAATGATCCTGAGAGAGTAAAGCATTCATTCGTGGATTGTTGATATGTATTTGGTGCATTATGTAGCTGTTTGTTTCAGAATTTTATATGTTGGTACAATATTTGATTTTATAATTGGCAGATTCCGCAATTTAGTTTTTGTTAGAATGTAATCAGTTGTTACAGATCTCTAGGGAATTAAGCATTAGATAATCTGGAAAATTAGGATGATTGATTCCTAGTTATTAGGTGTATTTATTATACTTGATTTTGTATTATGCTATAAATACATTATGTGTGGTCTGCATTAGACACAATACATTAAGAACATATACAATCTTTCATGGTATCAGTAGTTTAGGGTTTTTGATTTGGTTTCATTTTTTTTTTGGGTGAACAATATCTGTAGCCACTATGTGCCCCTTCTCTTTAGCACTGGGCATCCTTTTCCTGCGGTGACCACTGCGATTGAGACCGTCTTCCTCCGGTGATCACCATGCTTCATTCACCCCTCCAATCCACTTCAAAGTAACAAGTGATCTTAGTACTACCTTTGTCTTCATACAATAATCCTCGTCCTAGAGCATCTTTTATGTATTGAAGGATACTTATCACAGCATCCCAATGGCTATCACAAGGAGTATTTAGAAATTGTCTTACCACATTAATCACAAAAATGAAGTCGGGTCTGGTGATAGTGAGATAATTGAGTCTGCCTACCAAGCGACGATATCTTTCTGGGTCTTTCAATGGCTCCCCCTAACCTGGAAGAAGCTTGATATTGGGATCCATAGGAATATCACAAGGACAACAGTCAAGCATAACAGTTTCAGTAAGAATGTCTATGGCATACTTACGTTGATTAATGACAATTCTAGAAGCAGATTGAGTAACTTCAATGCTTAAGAAACATTTTAGAGGGCTTAGATCTTTAATATGAAATTGTTATGAAAGGTACTTACTCTTTGAGTTGTCGAATCCTATTCTCATCGTCACCTGTGATGACAATGTCATCAACTGTGATGACAATGTCATCAACTGTGATGACAATGTCATCAACATAAACAATAAGGTAAATGCACTTGCTAGAAGAGTGAAAAGAGAAGACATAATGGTCAACCTTGAAGTAATGAAAAACACCAGAATTGCATAATGTTTTTGTAAATCTTTTTCAGAGCTGATATTTGACAACCGTTGATAAAAATTGGATGATCCTCATGAGTGACTAAATTCTTAACCTATAAACGCTGTTTTGATAGGCATGTTTATTGTCCAGGTGTTTAGTTCATCTCCGTAGCGTTTAGGAGAAGTAACTCTTAGATGAAGAAGTGTCCGTTGATAAGCATGCATGTTAGTGATTTGCTTTCCGCACATCTAATGTATTTGTAAATAGTATGTTTGTAAAGCTAAGACATGACACACAAACATTTTATATTGGTTCACTTAACTGAGCTACGTCCAGTTCCCCTCTAAGATAACTTAGAGGGTTCCACTAGATTTTCAATGAAGTACATGTGAGTATTCTACCACTACTGGTTAAGCTAGTCAAATCCAATAAACCCCGTTACTATGACTAGAACCGAGTGCACCCACTCCTGGTTGCGCAATATTGTTCACTACTCCTAGTATCCCTAAACAATCCAGATATCTTCCTGATATTTTGTCTAGTTGAGTTTCACCCACTCCTGGTTTTCCAAGTGAACCCAGTAACCCCCGTTACCGTGACTAAAACCGAGTTTCAACCATTTCTGGTTGTGCAATATTTTTCACCACTCTTGTTATCCCTAGACAATCTAGATATCTTCCCAATATGTTGTATAGTTGAGTTTAACCCACTCCTGGTTGTCGTAGTCAACCCAGTAACCCTCGTTACCATGACTCTGACTGAGTTTCACTCACTTCTGGTTGTGCAGTATTCTTCACCACTCTTGGCATTCTTAAACATTCCTGGTATCTTCCTGATACATTGTCTAGTTAATTTTAACCCACTCATGGTTTCCACTAGATAAACTCGTCTAGCTGTCGTTTAACTTCACCAAGTTAAACGTCTCTAAGTTTCACCCACTCCTGGTTTCTACCAGAAAAACCTGTCTAGCTACAGTTTAACTTCACCAAGTTAAACGTCACTGAGTTTCACCCACTCTTGGTTTCCACTAAACAAACCCGTCTAGATTGATTACAATCAAAAGATTGATTACAAGTCCTTAGACGATAACTCTCGCAAAAAGGATATGTATGCAATACAACTCAATCTAATAGACTCACAAAATTTTTCTCTCTTCTCTCCTCTTACAACAATAAGCTAATATGTCAATGAAGTTTGAGAGTATTTCTTCTTCCTTTTAAGCTTTTCTCTCTCTCTTCTTACATAAGAAGGTTTGACTCTAAATAGTTCTGAGAGAATTCTTGATCTTTCCATGATGATGATTTTTCTTTATATTCCTTAAGTTCCCATCCTTGTGCTCTTTTTGTGCAAAGATCTTCTATTTATAAGTTTTTTGAGAATTTAGCCGTTAGACGATGCTTGTCTTGACTTTCAGCTCTTTGTAGCCTTTATCGTAGGTGACTCTCCTAGGTTGAGGTCTACATGTCAAAGCAGGCTTACTTTTTCGGTGCTTTATCAAAAGTAGATTGTACGATCTCTTTGGCGTGACTTTTGATGAGAAGATCATTCCGTGAATATCTTCTTTTTCTCTAACATCCACTTCTGACTTGTATTTGATAGAACGGGTATGCTTGACTTAGGTAGTCTGCATAGAGTAGAGTAGATATGTGTACAAGCATATATGTCCTTTTTCTTTTCATTTTAGTTGTTTTGAGATGTTGTGCAATTAATGACATTTATTGCATGTTCAGAACAACTAAAAGTATTTCAAATTTTCTGCCATTCAGGCAGAATTTGATCGTTTGAGCTTTTCACTAAGATACTAAGTAGTTGATGGAGATTTCATCGTTGGATGAAGGATATTGTTTGGCATATGGTATTGTTTAGCCTACCAGAGGCTTTTCCTAACGACACTTTGTTTAGTAAATACTTGTTTAGTTCAAGAGCGCGTTTAGTAAGACATCTTTCCTTATGTGTTTTTGGAACAATGTTTGTACCCTTAGTACGTTTACCAAAAACATTATTTTATAGGGAGAGCTCGTCTAGCTTGTTTAGCTAGGTATAACATGAATCCGTTTAGCAAGACTCTTGTTGACGCATTGTATGAGGAAATCGTTTATAGAATGTTCACTAAAGCTTTTCTTAGAGCTTTATCATAAACGCTTATCTTTTATACTAGACCTTTTGTTTAACAATATAGGTTTTACAAAGGTGATACTTTGTTGATCTATTTCGCTCGTGGTCTTTGTCTATTTGTCTTTAGATCATGTGAAAACACTAGACGATCTTGATCTTTGTCTTATCAACCTTTCTTTCTTCTTGTGGTATTGATTAGTTGCGGATACTTTTTTGTGTTCTTCTCAAGAGCTACATGTCATCCTCTAAGCTAAGAGTGTATTCTTATATTTTGCATGTTAAGTTCTATGTATTATGATTGAGTTATGTCTTACTAGATCGATTCTTGTGCTTAGTGTTTTATTTGACATTTCTTCTATATTCTTTCATATCTCTTCTGTTATTTAATTGCCTTATGTAGCTCTAGATGTAATCTTGATTTACTTTGATTTGGCATGACACATTGATGCTTCTAATGTCTAGACGTCTTTCTTTTTATGCTCTTTTGTATGTTTGATTACTCAAGACTATTTCGTTTAATGTTGTTTCTTAAACTTCAAAACCAGAGATGCTTTAGACGATCCTAGTTTCTCTCTCAAACGATCTTGGCTTCACAAACCTCACATCAGGTCATGCCAAACTGTATCAAGGCAGAATTGAAACGACCAAACCAAGCCCAGGGAGATTGCTTCAAACCATAGAGAGACCGTTGAAGCTTACAAACAAGACAAGAATCGCTGGGAGCAAGAAAACTAGGGGGTTCATCCATATAAACTTCTTCTTGCAATTCATCATGTAAGAATGCATTTTAATATCTAGCTGATGAAGAGGCCAATGATGAATAGTAGCCATAGCTAGAAACAAATGGACACAGAGGAAAAGGTGTCACCATAGTTGAGACCAAAAATTTGTGTATATCCTTTGACAACCAAGTGAGCTTTTAACCGATCAATATGACCATCAAGTCCAATTTTCACTGTATAAACCCAACAACAACCAACTATTTACTTGTCAAAAGGCAAAGGAACAAGGTCTCAAGTGCCACTGGAATGTAAGACTGCCATCTCCTCTACCATTGCCAGACGCTAGCTAGGATCAGCCATGACTTCACATGTAGTCTTAGGAATAGACAAAGAATCCAAAGAAGAAACAAAGGAGAAATAGGATAGTGACAAACAATGATAAGTAATGGTAAAAGCATAGGGAGGGTTGGGATTATGTGAGGAACAAATACCTTTTCATATTGCAATAGGAAGTTTAGGTGCAGGAGGCGTGGGTGAAAGGGCGGTTGGAATAAGAGATGATGCTTGAGGATTAGTAGAGTGAGTCACAATTGGAGTTTGAACCCGTATGTAGAATTGAAGCAAAGGACGTTGAAGAGAAGCAATCACCTGAGTCGGAACAATTCATGTTAGGTTTCTAGATAGAGGAAACCAGGAAAATGAATGCAAACCCAAACTCACTGAATAGACCTCGTATTGTTGATTCTAGGAAACAAGTACAACATGAATGCATCCAAGGGACAATGTTCCCTTCACACATGATGTCAATGACCCTGTCAACAATTCTCCAAAACATCCAAGAAAATGTCTCCAGCATACAAAGATCCCCCAACTATATATAGAAAGTCTCACTCATCCTAACAACCCGACCAACAACCACTTTTTAATATGTTTCTGTTAGGGAACTAATTGTATCTAGTAGAAGAAGAAACATTACCCAGCCTAACTGACTGGCAGTTAGGTAAGTAAGTATAAAAGGGGTGGGTTGGTTGGTGAGAGGGGGAGTCTTTGAGTGTTATTGTTTGGCGGGAACTCTTGTAGTTCTTTGGAGGGAGGTTAAGCTCTCTGGTTACGTTGTAACACCATTCTTACTGATTCTTTTTCAATAAAAGGAGGCTGTATAATTCAGATATATTGTCTTTGTGTGTATTCGAGTGTTTTTCCATAGGTTCTTGATCCAAGAACCTATCAGTTTCCTCCTAACATACACATTACATATTCTATCATTACGCATTGTTGTAGAAACAACCTTGTCCTCAAGGTTGAAGTCTAGAAATTGGTCCTTAATTGTTGCAACAGCTTCCCACGTGGCTGCCTTAAGGCTTTCTTTTTGCCCTTTAATTAGCACTTGCTGCAAGGCTTGATCTCCCATCAGCAGATTCATCAAACTTAGGGAAGATTCATCAACTTTGGTGGCCTTCTTTCCATCACATCTACCAAACAGCTTGGTAGGTAAAAGCAGACACTTCACTTTTGGAGGATCATCATGATAGACCTAAAGACCATTAAGAAATCCTGCAATTGCACAAACATCCATCAAAAGTTTCTTCGTCAAAGTAACTTGTGGTTGAGAAGGGTTATCTCCATACGTAAATGGAATCCAACTCTGGAAAGAAGATTTCTGAAAATATCTTCCTCATCTCCAATATTTCCGTAGAAGAAATCTTGCGTCCACTTCTAACTTCTCACTCATCCTAACAACCCGACCAACAACTACTTTTTAGTATGTTTCCTTCTAACATACACATTACATATCCTATCAGGCTCCATGGTGGAACTCAATGTCTAGTTTGTTGCTGACTTCCTAGCAAGGCAGTGGTGAAACGGTTTTTGCAGGGAGGTCCATGGCAGCTGCATTGGCTGCCCCAAAATGGCAGCAGTGAAAATCGCACTCCCTGGTAGAAGAAGCAGCCTTGGGCTTGTTTGACCAGACCTGACCTTACCCGAGGCAAAATCCTAATATTTTTTGGAATGGGTTATAGGACTCAATAATGCAGCCCAAACCCTAACCATTCAAAATCCAACCCAAACCCTAACCCTAACATAAGAGTAACCATGCTCTTCCTGCAAACCCAATTTTCACCTCCCTCTGTGATGATGGTGATGAAGATGGAGTAAGAGGATATTCATGATGATGAAGATTGGGGGAAGAGTTAATCCCTCTCTTAATTGGGCAATTGTTTATGAAGCTTTAGGTGTTAGTGAGCCAATAATTTATACAAGGAGAAAAACAAACAATAAAAGAAAGCAACCATCAAGTAATGGTATTGGTATTGGATGTTCTCAAGGAGGTGCAACTTTGGCCTCAACACAAAGCAAGGGCAAAGAGATGATTCAAGTTGTGGGTTGATGATGAATTGGAGTTTGATAGTTCTAAATTTGAGTCAAAAAATATTGAAGAATTATTTGACTTTAGCCAAGCTTTCTCTAAAGGAGAAGAGGAGGGATATCCTTAGATAACATTGAAGATAATTATGTTGGGATCGAGGAAGAGCTAGATAATTAGAAATCTAAGATATTTATCTTATGTTTTGTTATTCTAAGTTTTAAACTTGAAATTTGTGGTGTTTTGATTTGATGTAATTGTTATTTGAATTTCTAGAAATAATATTATTATTAGTTATGATTGTCTCTTTCATTATTCTTGCTTTACACTTATATTTGTTTATTTTTTCTAAAGTATCTATATGTATATATTGTATTTTTTGTCTGCAATGCTTTTGCCAGACATGTTATAGTTTTCATTATAATTTTATATAGGATTTTTGGGGTCCTCTAAATTTTCCATTATTCGATATCTCAATAACACTGATTGCTTAACACATTTTCATGGTCCCCGATATTTTCCATTATTCGATATCACTTATTGCTTCACACTTTTCATACTAATACAAGAGTTGAAATGTTAATTATGTTTTTGCTTCTCTTCCTTAGAAGTAGCTTGTGAGGAAGCTCTACTTTTTTCACTGTACTTATATTTATTAAAGGCTATTTTTAGTATTTGGAATTTCTCCATAATTGTGTTCATCCTATTTTCTCCTTTTACGGAGAAGAGAAACACAACAAAATTAGGTGAGATGCTACTTAATGACCTAAATAAAGGAATGATTATCTTGATACCCTTCTTTAGATAAACTTTCGGTAACCACTTTTTGGAGGACAAAAAAAGCCAATATAAATTATTTAAGCTAAAATCAATTTATACATTTCAAATTTTATGTAAGTTCTCTCATTTAACTTGTACACATGCCAATTTTAACTTATGGGAGAAGCTTAATTAATTTTTTCCTTTTTATTTTCTTTGGAGTGTTTATTGAGAAGATAGTCTAAACAAGACCATGATAAATTCCTGAGCATGCTACATATGCTTAGTGACAAGACACAATTCCTAAACATACGAAAACAAAATTATACCTAAGATAACAAATTACCCTTGTATATTACACATCATTGTCTCGATTTTCATTTCTTCTAGATATTCTAAATTTTTGTTGGTCCTTGTCCAGCATTTACATGATCAATTACAATGGAGGATTCGAAGTTCACATGTAAGTTTCTGCACTTTTGATGATTCACTATTGGTCTTCAGCATTATAATTTGTGTCACTATCTTGGTTAAATCCTTGTGAAACAAGTGGCGTTAAAAATCTCTAATGAAAATTATAATATCACGTGTTCATGGTGAGGAAATAAATGCTATACATAAAATATTCTTCACATTGTTGATTAGATGTTCCTTGCTTCTTAAATTTTAGGCAGTCTTCATATCTAGAGGTTTCTTTACATGAATGTGTGCTTTACTGTGTTCTCATTTATTCTTGCACCAAGTTATTCATTTTAATATTTGTTTCCATTATATGGGTGATTAATGATTTCTTCGTGCCCATACTCTCATTCACATTATTGATTTATCATTATAGCATTTTTTGGTTCATGCTTTGGTTTTAAGTGAAGTGTCTATTTGATTCTGTCAATTTTGCAGTCAATGGTTGATTGATTATTTAAAAGATCCGTGGCTACTCTTTTTGGACAGGATAGAATTGGAGAGTTAAGCTCTGTGCTAGAAACACGTGCTGATAACGGTAATCATGTTGTTGAAAGTCCAGGTTCTGGAAATTTGACAAGTCACAATCATAATGATTTCATGGTACTATTGGCATGTAATCTTCTTTCATGCTTTGTCCTCATATTTTTTGTGTTTGTCATAGTATATTTTTCTTTTTGTCACTCATTAATTATAATTTAACTTAAATTCAGTTTCAGCATAACTTCTCCCAACAAAATCTTATCGGTAATGAACAAAATCATCAGTCAACAAGCAATATGGCAGGATATATGCACCCAGCACTTAATGCTGATGTAAACTGGTCTATCAAAAATTTCAACTATCAGCAGATGTCTAAGGCCGATAGGTTCGTATTGTTTGTCCACTTGTGTTGTTTACTAGTGAATATAACTTAACTGTCATTGGTTAGGAGCAATACGTAGCGTGGCATCTTGAGCTGTAGATGTAGTTACGTGTATGCAAACACTCATGGCCATCTCGTAGTCCTTTAGTTCCATCGGCAGTCTGAGAAGATTAATGAAAAATGGTCAAGAAGTTTCGACTGGTGGTTTTTTGGCCTAATATGATGGGAAACATTTACTTCTATTTTACCATTTGTTTATCTGCACTTTCAACTTTGACAGACACATTTACACACACAATAGAAAAGAGGAACCAACTTGACCATTTGATCTAACTTGAACGTTCATGATCAGAAGTTTTTTTAAAGGGGACAGCTATTTAGAGAAGTCATATGACTTTACATTTTCATGTTGATCATACTGTATGATCCTATGGTTGGATTTGTTCAGGGAGGTATTCTCGCATGGTTCAATTGATAAAGTTGGAGGGCAGGACAAAAACATGGAAAGAAATTTTGTTAATACCAACATGTATCAACCACAACCTGAACTAGATGAGACGGCTTCCTCTGTTTCCGAGGGTAATTCATGATTTTTTATTTTAATATATATATATATATATATATATATATATATATATATGTGTGTGTATACATAACATACACATGTGTGTATATATATATATATATATGTGTGTGTGTATATATATAGGTAGATAGATAGATTGATAGTATATCTTTTTATACTGACGACTGATATTCCTAGATGGCCCTGGCATTGAGAATTTTCAAATTTCTGGTGATGCTATTCCGGGAGAAAAGCTTCTTGGATGTGGATATCCAGTCCGTGGAACTTCTCTTTGTATGTTTCAGGTGAATATTCTTTCCATTAATATTGAACTTAGCACATCATCCATAATTTCCCTCTCTATTATTTACTGATATTGCCATTATTCTTGGCTTCAAACCAGTGGGTTCGGCATCTTGAGGACGGCACTAGACACTACATTGAAGGTGGATTGGACTCATACCTCTGGCCATTTATTTTTGGAATTTTATGCCTGTTTGCTTAGTGCACTGTTCTAATACAAGTTTAACATAAACATGATAATTGATTTTCATCTATGTTTTTCTTGAATCAGGAGCCACAAATCCAGAGTATGTAGTTACAGCGGATGATGTTGATAAATTGATAGCAGTTGAGTGTATTCCAATGGATGATAAAGGCCGGCAGGTTTGAAATATATTAGTTATATGCACAGTCTATCATATATCTTGTGCATGTTATATGTTATACTCATTGCCATATCTATGGATGCTATAAATGCATCGAGTTTTATTATTTTAAATTAGGATATGCTTGTTGGATAAGACTTTTCTATCATGTTCCAAAAGCAAAATATGGAATTTGTGTTTAAATTTTGAACCTATGTTTGTCTTCTATGCTAAAGTATTGTGATTCTAGGGACTTCTAGTGAGAAATAAAAACAAGACAGGAAGAATTATTCCTATATGTATTATGAAGGACTATAAGAGATACATAAGGGTATTAGATGAAGGGGGACCATACAGGAAACCCTGTATCATAGTCAAACTGGCTATTTGCGTACAAATCAAACAGTTTCATGACACAGATATTATGGTAGAATATTCCTCCAGGTGTCTTTTCACCTTTACGGCCTCCACAAAGGTCTCACTTTCCATGTTGGCTCCAAACGTACCCTTGACACAAGGAAGTTGAGAGAAACGAAAGACAATAACTTGGGATCAGGTTTACAAATAAAGAGATAATATCATTTTTTAATTGACTGTCTTGGTGAATGGTTGAAGGGGTATCATTGGTGCACATCAGTTTGCCATGTTCCCCCAGACTTTTTGAACATTTCGCATGAAATACTTGTTTCAGTGATAAATGAATAGTAGACTTGACTACAATGCATAATTGAGTATCAATTTGATTGAAAATGTGAGAAAATATTTATGTAACTAATGCTGACAGCTCATAAGTATAACATATAATAGTTTTCCAAAATCTTCTAACTACCTACATTAAATATCCATTCTAACAACTACCGATATTTAATACATATTCTAATTCTAACACTCTCCTTTAAGTTAAAGCATACAAATTGTATGTATTATGTTGGGAACAAATAAATTCAACTTGAGGTCCCTTTACACATTTTGTTAACACGCCTACAAGTTGATCATTGGATTTGACCTAAGAAGATTTGACACACCACAAAAGTGGTGTTTCCTCGTTGGATGTGTGTGCAGATATGAACACACCACAGAAGTGAGCACAACACCACGTCTGATATAAATTGTTGGGTCAAACATGATCATGCCCTCTGACACGTCGGGGATGACAATCATATTCTTTGCCATGGCAGAGAGACACGTTGGAGAATGTTCAAGACACACAAATAAAATTTACTAAGAAAAATTAAGGAAATCAGAAAAAAAATGGATTCCTATAGCCATGGCATGACTCCACTTGCGGGAAGTAATGATGCGGGGGCACACCACTAGCACCCTATGATGCAAATGGCGGTGGCGTAGGCAACGGTAGCTCCCAGTGCAACCTTGCCCATGATAGCAGAACAAGTTGAATTAAGCAAAGTCCAAAACTTTTTCCTCTGAAGAATGAAACCCAGATTAGATTTTAGTGGGGAAGTGAGAGATTGTTGTTATTGGGTGCAGGAAAATGAGTGGTGTGACCTTGGTGGAGGATAAGGAAAGAGAGGTGAAATGAAGTATGACAAACAAACATCAAATAGTATTAAACACAATAAAAAAATTAAAACTAGGAAAATTATTGTAAATATTTATGTGAGCTTATAGAAGACTAAATAATGGTTAAACTAACAAATTAATTAACTTCATTCGGTTGAGAGAAAATACCGAATTTGACATCAATCTCTTACAAATTTATGTAAAACTTCACTTTTTGATAAAAAGAAGTAGGAATCGAGATGATTAGTTAATATAAGTAGTTTCCAAACCAAAAGATTGTATAAAAAGAGGTTCATTTTTTTATTTCTATAAATCATAATATATATATATATATATATATATATATATATACTCTAAAAGAGAATGAATTGTATTATTATCATTCATATCTATTACATTCTTCTTACCTCTATTTGTAGCAATCTAATCTTCTAAAAAAGGGAAATAAGGAAACAATATTCTGAAAAATAATCTATAACATCCTACAAATATTTTCTCTAATTAGGAATATTCTATAAATATTTTCTCTAATTAGAAAGATTTTCCTCTAATTACAACACTCTCCCTCAAGTTGGTAAATGAATATCAATCATTCCCAACTTGCCTACAAGATCTTGAAATCTACCCGGAGGGAACCCTTTTGTAAAAATATCTACTATCTGAAGTTCTATAGAAAGGTGAGTTGTAATCACAAAGGCTCTATCTAGATTATCTTTGATGAAATGTGTGTCAATCTCAATGTGTTTTGGCCTTTCATGTTGTACTGGATTATGGGCAATGCTCATGGCAGACTTATTGTCACAGTGTATTTGCACAAGGTTGTCCACCTTGACTTTAAGGTCATCCAAAATGATTTTCATCCAGAGTCTTTCAGACATTCCTTGAGCAACAACTCAGAATTCAACTTCTGCACTAGAACGAGATGCTCAATCTTGCTTTTTGCTCCTCCATGCTACCCGACTATCTCCAAGACACACACAATATCCAAAATTAGATTTTCTATCAGTAATAGAACCTGCATAGTCAGCATCAATATATATTTTCATAGTCAATGTGTCTTCCCATTTGGACTTCAATTAGCATATTTGTTTACAAAAGGTTTTCCCACTAAACGATTTCATGATCTCACATGCAAGCTGAATAGATATCCATTCACAAGCTTAAGGGGGAGTGTTGTTAGATGAATATTGTTAGAATAAATATAGTTGTATGTGTGTATGTGTGAGTTATAACACAACAATGTGTGTGTATGTGAGTTTGTGAGTTGTAACTTGTGAGGTGTATTAATCTTAGTGGTCTTCCATTGCTGAAATCCTATAAATAAAGGATGAAGAAGGGTGGAATTAAGCCCTCTAAAACATACATTGTTCCCTTTCCTTATTTCAAGTGTGTGTGTGTGTGTGTGTGTATATATATATATATATATGTATTGTCTGTAAATATGTATATATTATCGTGTTCGTGGCCAATATTTTTTCAATTTAGCTGTATCCCTGTATTGGTGTCCGTTTGTATGCTTCATAGGACAACAACTTTCTTGGATTGAATGATAGTCAAATTTTATGTGTTCAGTCGTCTCATGGAAACATTGAATTGGGGATAATGTGGAGAGGAACTTGGTTATCACAATACATCTTCATTTGTTGGATCTCACAATTTTAATTCTTGAAGAAATTGTTTACCCATACAAGTACACAAGTGAGACACGCCATTCCCCTATATTTAGCTTTAGCACTAGAGTTTAGTAATAGAGAGATAAAAAAGTTTGCCAACAAGTGTTTTATATTAGAGTGTCAAGAGTGGACTTTAAGCCTAAGTGAACCTTACCAAACCAGCATATAAGGTGAGGTTTGCACCCACTTATATACTGTGAATTGGCCTTATCTTTAGTCTATGTGAGACTTCCAACACACCCCCTCACGTTGAGGCATATACATTTCGAGCGTGAGACTAGACATTAATGGGTGGTTTGATAGTGGCCTGATAGCGAGTGAAACAATAGACCCAACAAACTTCGGTAGGATAAGATCTAACAATGGCTTTGATTTCCTATTAAGAAGTGAACTTTAAGCCTAACTCAACTTTACAAAACCAATATGAGGTTAAGCTTTTTCCCCACTTATATATTGTAAATTGACATTGTTTTTAGTCAATGTGCGACTTCCAACAGAGAGATGTCAACCTTGATCTGCCATTAATTTTTTATTTGGATCCATAGGGTTATTTATTGGTTAGCCGTCAGTCATGCATGTTTCTTCCAAGACATCAAAAACATATTTCCTTTGAGAAACTACAATGCCTTCCTTTGATTGAGCCACATCAATGCCTAGAAAGTATGAGACTTCCAAGATCTTTGGTCTAACTACTACCTATATTTAATACATTTTCTAACAAATGAATGGTAGATTTAAGGACAATGTATAATAATTGAGCATCAATTTTCAACTAACAAGAAAGTGAAAAACAACCGTAAAAAGTGTGAAAATTTTTTAACGAATTTCGATCACAATGAAAGTTACTGATTTGGAAAGAGGACGGAGAAACAAGTTTGACTTGGTGGTCAACATGGGAGAGGAGAATGGACAACGATAAGAAGCAGCGGCGACAAGGAATGGGGTAGTGCATCGAAGCTTCAATCGTCACAACTTTTGTGGCATGGTGGTCATTTGGCCAGGATGATCACAATCATGGTGTCACCAGTCCTAGAGGTGGTGGCAGCAACAGTGATAGTGATGGCATAACGACAACATGGCAAGGGGACCAAACTGGGTGGTGGTAGTATAGTGGTTGCAAAAAACAGTGGTTGGAAAAAAAAACAAAGAATGAATTAAAAGAAGAGGAACAATTTCTGGAACAAATTTAGTACAGTGGGTTCAACAGAGAGAGACAAGAGAGAGACAAGAATTAAACCTAGCTCTAGATACTATGTTAAAATAAAAGAGAGAGGCATAGGCTAAATCCATAATGTGTGTAGAGCGCATAGGGTTACACATTTAGAAATAGGAAAATACAAAAAGATAGACCTAGGCCCATTACATCTAACACCTTTTACATTTCCTCCTCCTTTTTAGCATAGATCTAATAGTCTTCTCTTTGAATTTAAGTATGAGTCATTCAGGACTTGATATATTTGAATTTATACTTTTGTATACTGTTAGATGTTAAGATGTGTGTTTCTGTTAATTGAGCTCAGCCGTATTAAGGGCATTAGCCCATATCTTACATTATAAATAAACTACCTTATTTGTATGCAAAAGTCACAAGGGATATTTTCTCCCAATCTTCTCTATTTCTCATGTATACAAATATATTATTGAATTTGCAGACATGTCTCCAGTTCAGTAGAATGTTATTCTTGGCTTATTTTTGTCAAATTTGTTCTTTGTTAGGGGGAACTGGTGAAGCTTTTTGCTAATGATCAAAACAAAATAACGTGTGGTAAGTTCATTTGCAGTTTAATCTATAAGACCTACACTGCACTTTTTTATCTATTTGATGCTCAGGAATATTTTGATGGCCTGAGTTAGATTACTACAAAATAATGATTGTTGAAAAGTTTTAGAATTAAATTAGTTGACTTGGCTATAGCTTTCTCTTATTTGAACTAAGAGTTAAATTAGGAGTTGATTGTATTGAAGGACAAACTTCTAGGGTATGTGTAAGTGTATCCTTTCACCCTCATCTTGACTTTATACTTAACTACCTTACCTTTAGATTAATATATCCAACAACACCTTACTAGCTCTTGAACTATGTAAGGAAATAAATAATTATCAAATCCTTTAAAATAAGAAAATAAAAGTATGTTGAAATGAATAAGATTTTTTTCCTAATTACTATAGGGATATTGAGAATATTTTTATCGTAAGAATATGTTTTTACAACACTTGACCATAGTTGACCACTCCATTTCTTTTCGACGACAATTGGATATGGTGTGTCTCGCCAAGTGACGTCCACCCATGATGGTCATGTCCTTTAATCCTTCGTCACACACAACTTCTCTATTTGTTGTATCATGGTATGTTAAATTCATGCACCACCATCCATTCACCGGAGCAACTCCACCTTTCCTCCACAAGGCTCACTAGGTTTCCTTGTCCCTGTTTTGCCCTCAGTATCTCCATGTCTAAGAATGTAAATCATGTCAATTAGCAAAACATATTCTGTCTTTTTCTTTTAGAAAAGAACTAAAGCAAGATGCAACTCTATATTTCCTATATTTCATTCTGACATTTGGGATCCAAGTCAAGTCACATCCTTTGGGTTTCATTATTTTGTCATTCTTATGGATGAATATTCTCATTTTACTTCACTTGATGAAATATTGATCAGAATTTTTGAATATTTTAGAGTTTTTCTTCAATGACATTATAAAGAAATTTGGTAAAATAGGCAAGATCACAAGGAGTTATAATGCCAAAGAATGTTTTTCTTCTACTTTTTCTATCCTTTTAAATTCACATCATATTATACATTAGTCTATTTGTCCTTATACACCTCTTCAAAATGGTATATCAGAGAAGAAAGGTGTTCAAGTAGCTCAATCAAAGGGAGGTTTTGTAGTTTTTTTAAGGTGTTTATAATTGGTGTTGTAAGTTAGTTCTTGCAAAATCCTCTTGAATTGATTGTTTGAATGTTGACATTTGTATTCTAAGGTACCCATTACTATGAACATGCACAATGGATACATACCCAAATATTCTATGTTGGAGTTTATTAGTAGGGTCTAGGTTGGATAGTGTTAAGAACTGGACTTTAAGCCTAACTAAATTCCACAAAACCGGCTTGTAAAATGAGGTTTGCACCTATCTTATATATTACTTGAGATTGAAACTGTAAAATAATTCTTGAGGGCTTGAAAGATCCCTCTCACTTTCATTCTATATATAAGAAAGTTTTGATACAAAGTACATGATAAATAGAGTAACCCTAGACACAATATAATGATGATAAATAGGGTAACCCTAGACACAATATAATGATGATAAATAGGGTAAATATTCTAACAATACCCTATAATGGCCTTATCACTAGTCGATGTGGGACTTTCAACACACCCCCCCTCACACCGAGGTATATACATCTTATGCATGGGACTAGATATTAATGAGTGGTTTGATAGTTGGTGAAATGATATGTCTAACAAACACAAATCTCGCTATGATAGACTCCATGTTAAAAAGTGGACTTTAAGCTTAACTCCATCCCACAAACATTGGGTTGTTAGAATTACACAGCGGAATGTTCGTGAGTGGACAAAAACCAAGAGGGAGTGAATTGGTTTACTTAATAAAATCATGCTTTTTAAAAAAAAAATTCCCTTTCTATAAACTGATTTTATAACAACAGTAAGGATAAATAGTGTAGGGAAAGAGAAATTCGCATAAGGAATTTTATAGAGGTTCGGATCAAAAGACCCACGCCCATTTGTTAATGTCTCTAAAGAGTGATTAACCAATCACTAAAAATAATGTTAAGAAGTGAACTTTAAGCCTAACTCAACCCCACAAAACTGGCTTCTAAGGTGAGGTTTTCACCCACTTATATATTATAAATTGGCCTTATCTCTAGTCGATGTGAGACTTCCAACACACACCCCTCACGCCGAGGTATAGACATCATCCAGAGCGTGAGACTAGACATTAATGGGTGGTCCGATAACGGCCCGATAGCGGGTGGAACAACATGTCCAACAAACAACAAATATCGCTAGGATAGGCTCTAACCATAGCTCTGATATCGTGTTAAGAAGTGAACTTTAAGTCTAACTCAACCCCACAAAATCGGCTTGTAAGGTGAGGCTTGCACCCACTTATATATTATAAATAGGCCTTATCTCTAGTCGATGTGGGACTTCCAACAAATAACCAACAACTTACAATCACATAGAATAAAGTTAAGGTTGAAAACACAGGAAAAACACTAGAGGGGGGTGAATAGTGTTTTTCAAATCCTTTCTCAAGGCAATGTCTAATGATTTGTAAAGGAGATATATAATTTATAATGTTTAGACGCTGGTTTTTATAAGATGAGTAATCAAAACGTTTTAGATAACAAAGAAATAAACCACAAATTTTATACTGGTTCACTCAACCTGAGCTACGTCCAGTTCACCCTTAAGAACTCTTAAGGGGTTCCACTAATCTTTTTCAAAGATTACAATGAGTTTTACCTCTGTAGGTTTACAAGAAGTATTCTTACCACTTCTGGTTTACTTAGTCAACACGACTAGTCCAAGTTTAACCACTCCTAGTTTACAAGTATTCTAACCACTTCCGATGTCAAACCTTGATAACACTTCTAGACAAGTGTTTTGACTCTCTTCAGAATTTACAACACAAACAATATTAAGAGTAGAGGTACATATGATAACTCTCAAAAAGTGGATATAAACAATACAAAGAATTTTGTGATTTGCTAAGGTTTATCTCTCAAAAGAAATATATTGTCAGACAATATATGAGTGCAGCAAGCTTGAGTTCATTATTATATTCCTCTTATCTTATCCTTCTTGTGTTATCATTCTAGTCTTCTCTTCAATCTTTCATCTATATATAATTTGTCTTGAAAGATGACTGTTAGACAAGGAAGTTGACTTCAGGAGAGTAGGTAGCCTTTAGGCAGGAACTCAAACTTTAATCTTCTTTGTAGGGGTCAGAGCTTTATCATAGACTTAAGCAAACTAAGCTTATATGATGTGACAGAGTAGAAGGCTTCAAGGGAGACATTTCCGGAATGTTCTTCTTCTCTCACAATGTCTTTTTCTTGGGTGCAGTGATTCTGATTCTGATAATATCTTTCTGCTTTAGTGATTTGCACAAATATCAAGAACAAAGAATACAAGCATTGAAGACTATAACGTTTGACCGTCATTCATTAGACAATGTTTTCTTTAAAACACTTTGCTTGAGATCAAACTTGTATTGAATAAAAATTTCTTGTTTAACCGTTATTCATTAGATGATGTTTTCTTTAAAATACTTTGCTTGAGATAACACTTGTATTGAATAAAAATTTCTTTTTAGCCTTAGTGTTATACAAGACTTGCTTTTTCATAAGACGCTTTACTATTCATATAGTCTGTTAAATGATTTCAAAAGAGAGACACTTTCTTTTCTTAAACACGGTTTATGAGTTTTGTTCATTAGACAATTTAGTCCAGAAAACATTATTCATAAGCTTGGCTTCAGATGTTATAAAATATTTCTTCTTTAGACGCTATTTCTTTTAAACAGTTTTTCATGCTCAACAATATTTCGTTTACTGCCTACTGTTAAACTTCAAAACCTGAGTTGTTTAGATGGTATATTCTTTAAACAATCTTGTCTTAACAAAGGTTAGAAAACACCTCCTTTGACACAAAGGACAAACAACTTTCCTAGCAACAACACCGACACTCAATCACTTAGACCCACCAGTGAAAGTTCTCGCTCCACCTAGGTTTTTCAAAGCCCCTTTTTACAAACACTGAGAGTTTCTCTAGCACACAACTCTTAAACCCCTGAATCAAAAGTTCTTTTGAGATTAGTTTAGGTAAAATATATAGACTCTTATTTTTGAAAATTAGGTCTGAAAACTGAAGATTCTTTTCGCAACGGCCACTGATAATCGATCATTATAAGTGGTAATTGATTATTGTAAAAACTATTTCAAAAATTAATTTCTCATTGTGATAATCGATTATTATTAGTGATAATCGATTATTCTAGAGGCTTTTGGAAAAATCTGAAATTAACTGGAATAATCAATTATCATTAGTAATAATCAATTTATTCCAGAGGTTTTTTTGAATAATAAAACTTTTCATGAGTGCTCTGCTGCTTGGGTTCTACCTATTGACTATTGGTCTACTAATTTAAATAAAATACACAGATTACAAGATTTCAACAACTAAAATCTTAAGTCTTTAATATATCTCTTGAATTCAAGCGTTATTTAAATCTTCAATACTTCTCCATGAGCCATCATCATCAAAACTCTTTATTGAAGCAAGATGTCTATTTTCTTCTTTTGCCAACAAACTGCTTGTAAAGTTAGGTTTGCATCCACTTATGTACTTTAAACTGGCTTTATCACTAGTCGATGTTGGACTTCCAATCGATAGAATGAGAATAACTTCCATGGGAGAGTCTTTGATTCTAAGATTTTAGAGAGCAACATATTGATAAGATAAGTAGTAGTAAGAAGGGCTTTAGTTTGTTCTAGTAACTGACTTTTTCTTTTCAGCAATCTCATTCTGTTCAGGTGTGTTAACACATGAAGATTCACGAATTATCCCCCCTCTATGACAAAAAGAGTTGAACTCAAGATTAAAGTAGTCCTTGGCATTATCAGATCAATTCTCTTAATATTGACTCCAAATTGATTCTTAAATTGTGACATTGAATGAAAGCAGAACTAACCTTGGATTTTTGTTTAAATAGGAAATCCTAAGTCCCCAGGTACAATCATATATAACGTTTATATACCGTTTAGCATTTGACATATTTGGGACATTAGTAGGACCCCATACGTCATTATCAACAAGATTAAAAGGGACAATAGTCCTCTTGTTGCTAATGGGAAAATGTACACACTTATGTTTAGCAAAGTCAAACACCTCATGATGGAGACTCTACACCTTTAAATTCTTAAACAAGTAAGGAAAAATCAATTTCACAACTTGAAATGAAGGATGTCCCAGCTGACAATGGTATAGGTTAGCTTTCTCTTTACTGGTTATGGGGGATTCATATATGAGGGAGTGGCTCTTGATAGACTGATTAGGATCCTCCTTCAAAATCCCAATAGCTAGTCTCACACTTGAAATGTTCAATACTCGATAGTATGTTGAAAATTCTACATCAAATTAAATTATAATATAGAAACATGTGTAAACCTTATTTACAAGCTGATTTTATGAAGATAGGTTTAGAGACTCTTTCTAACAGAGCCACCAACACTTGCTAATAAAATTGCATTATATTCATGCAAGTATGATATAATATTTGTGATATTATTATAGTATTTTCTCCTTTAATATTCTTTAATTGTAGTTTTCTGTTGGCTGACTTTATAGATTCTGAAATGCAACATGAGATTAACACATATCTGTCTAAAGGAGAAGCAATATTCAGTGTTCTACTCTTGGTAGGTCTGGTTTATTTGGAAAATCCTTTTATGATCTGATTTTATTCATTATATCTATGCATAATCTATGTGGTTCATGGTGTACATTTAGAGTTCATGAGCAATCCAATATATCTCATGAACCAGCTGATCTCATCTTTTACATAATTCAAAATATCAAATATTAAACAGTAGAAGAATACTTAATACTTAATTGTACACAAACGAAAATCTCTTTGCAAATAACCTGAAACTGTTCCATTTGAATAGGTTTGGCATTTCAGATGTTTATTAGCCCGTTAAAACTTTTTAATTTTAGTCTGCTAAATTTAAGTTCCGAGAATCTTGACGTCTACTCACTTTTTATATCCTTAATAATATCTATTGTATAAAAATATACCATGTTCTCCGTGCATCTTAATATGCATCCTTACTTTTTTCGAATTATTTGCAATAGATGGATTCATCCGAGAATTGGGAACGAGCAACCCTGTACTTAAGACGATCAGGATATCAAATTAGAATTAATGGTACTGAAGCTACAGTAGTTGCTGAGAAATTCTCAAAGGACTTATCGGTATGTCATTCCAACTCCTAGCGGTAGAACAAATAACTATCATAAGTGCCATTAGTGGATTAATTACCAATCATAACTGTATAAAACCATGTACATCACTTCCTAGGAACTTTATTCATATCATATAACAACTTGTGCAAACAAATGTGATTGGAATACCTAGAGTGGAAATCAATCTGCCTAACATCAGTAATCTTCACCTATGATTTGATTACATTAAATAGAGAGATATCGTAGCAGATAATCCTCATTATATTAATTTTTTCCTTATTACTATATGTTCCCGTCATTATAAATAAGAATACTCATGTTTCTACTTGGAATACAGTTACAAAAATCCTTTCTATATGGTATTCCATTTCTGGGGTTCAATCCCCTCTCTTTTTCCTCTTTTTTTATCTTGCACAGTCGGTGCCTACTTCCACAGGCATACAATGTTCTTCCCCACTGCCAGGTCTCTTGGATAGGTTCTGGTTGGAGTCATGGGAAGGGCGGTCACGGTTGGTTAGAGGAGAGCTTTTCACTGCCAAAATTGAAGAAAATGGTATCAGGAGTTGGCAAATAGATGAAAATGGATCTTTTCGCTCCTCCTCCTCTAACTCTTTCTTGCTATTGCCATGAATGCTTAAGCGGATCAGAGAAAAGATATTATCAGATTCACAACCCTAAATAGCTTAACCACAACTACAGTAACTTTAGCAACTATTGTGTTTTAGTTGGAAGACAGACCTTTCGACTTTTGACTTTGGTCCAAGGCGATTAATTTTAACCTTTAACTACTTGCATAATATTTAGGTAGTGTCTATTATTTAGTTGATGGGACAATTGTTTTTGTTTCAACCACTGTTTTACATCTTTTTATCATGAAATCTATAAAAATCATAGTAAATCTGTTATAGTTTTAATGATACAAATTTTTAATTAGTATACAATAATTTTAATAGCAGAATATTTATTAGAAATTTTAGTATTGTTCTATTTTAACATAACTTAAGAATCTCATGCTATATGTGCTTAATGTCTTGTTTAGTTAGTATAAGTTATATTTTATTATTGATCATGAATTTTGCAATATGATTCTCTACCCTTGCAATACTAATAGCTGCAACAATTGATCTTGTATTGTTCAAATTGGTTTCGGAATTGTATGAATTCTGGTTTGAATTGTGAAATCCCATTCAGGTCACACTCCAAAATAGGTCAGGTTACACGGCCCAATTTTTTTTTGAAAAAAAATCCCAAATTTGGTTTTGATTTTTTTCATGAATCTGAGCGGGAAGAGGGGAAGAATGGTCGTTCTGTTCCCTCTAGCCATGCCCACTTATTATTTTCTTTTCCTCACTTATATACTCTTATCCATAACCTCTTTTCTCCACCTATATCAGTCACCCACTTATCTGTCTTTTCCTCATGTCTACTTAATAAACTATATATGTTAGTGGTCCCTTAAATGTTCCCTTCTACTCCTTAAAAACACGTTGCTGCAGTGCCGATTCCTTCCCTTGCTTTACATGTGCTACTGCTGATGAGTTTTCTGATAGACTCTTGCTTTACAAAAATGTATATATCAAAAAGTGAGCCATGATATTAGTTGTGGCTATGGTGAAGTCTTCCTACAAATACACTATAAGTAAAATATAAATTTTGTTCTCATGCTTGTTGGGGTGACATAGCAAGGGATTGATGTCACGTTCAATCCAAAACCTTAAGACAATGGGTTTATGGATCTTCTATCTTGTTTAACTTTCATTCTACTCAATATGAGACTTAGACTTATACTTGAATTTCCAACAAGTTAGTATACAATTCAATCTGATCATTGACCTTGACATCATGTTTAGTTTTTCCTTGAATGTGTTTGTACAGTTCAGTCCTCAAGTGTTTACTTGCCAGCACTTTAGTCCTTTCATCTCAAATATAAAATCAAAATGTGAATAAAATGTTAGCAAAATGAATACATTAAGGGATCAAATCGTAGATATTTACACTTTTGAGGAGTAATGACTCTCTCGAAAGATTACAATATGATCAATTTAACACATCTATTGAGATCAAATTGTATGTACCGACACTCGGACTAAAGTTAAAATGGGTCCACTTTCAAGAACCATATTGTATACTAACTTAGATTTGAGGTGAATGGTAAGCTCCTCATCTTTTCATAAAAGGACTAGGAGTGTTCTTTCTCTCTTTTAATTGGATAGAAACTTACTGGTTATAAGGGCATTGAATTAGTAAAACTTAATAGCTTTTGTGCAAAATGCTCGTGAAAATATTTGCATAAATTTGACATCAAGTTATTGCTTGAAATATAGCTTGATGTATACATATGTTGAGAAAATCATCATTCTAATAAAGCAATTTTTCTAGTTTGAAAATTCTTCAGCAAGATGTTATTTCCTCTTAGACTTACATCACATTTGTTTTATGGATTTTCCTCAGATTAAGGTTCCCTCTGGTCTCTCAGTGCAATTTGTGTTAACATGCTCAGATGGGTCTTCTCATCCTCTAAGCACATATAGTGTCAGGTAATAACAACATTGTTGTTTTTCACTTTAACATTAGAATGTTGGAATGGTATTGATAAATATCATTGGTCACACTCAAAACGTCGTAACACTCAAAAAGTGGTAACACTCCAAAAGTGTACCCTTCAGGATGTCTGACTTAAATTTAGTATCCAGTGGATGCTTCATTAGGTAAACTACTACTAGCTGTTGTATCTGTGATATCATTGAAAAAAATTAAAAGTATTATAGTTCTCTTTCATCTGTCTTATCTCATCGTGTAGCTGATAGATGTTTTTTACTACATAGCTATTGTTCCAAAGTTTATTTACTTTCATCTTTGGTAGTTATTGTGCTCAGTGGTTATGAATATGATTTCAATTTCCAGCACGACAAACAAATATGAATGTTACTGTATTTTACAAACATAATTAACAGTGTTCATTACCCTTTTCTTTGTAGAATGAGAGACACACTTGTATTAACCATGCGATTCTTCCAGAGTAAGGTATTCCATCTATTGCTAACAATTGCCTGACCATCAAGTAGCAATGACATGTAATATTAATCCTAATATTATCAACGTTAGTTGTAAAGATGTAAAGAAGTTGGCGTCCGAATATTCAAATTGTTATTCAATTGAAGTAGCTAGGTGTGTCATATAAAAGTATTTCACTCAATTGGTCCCCAAACCACAAGTCATATATATTAGCAATACAGTTTATAGCGTCTCTTCTAATGGTTACAATACTCTGAGTTTTCTTTTACATATAGGTGACCTTTTAAACTACCTTTCTCACTAGACCTCCCTAACACCTATGCTTGTCTAATTGTTAGTCCCCAATTGATCTACGTAATGAGTTCCTCCTTGTAAGATAAGATTTTTTTTCTCTTATATATCCGTCAAAGTTTGAAGAGTGGTTTGTATGCCATTCTTCTACATACCCCTAAAAGATGTGTTATGAGATGATACAAATATGCAACTTATTAGAAAACCATTCTTCTATCCAATGCTCTTATACCACTTGTTGGATGGAGGAGATTCACTGGGAAAACACAACACCAATAAGATCTAAGTCCAACTACATAAGAGATTGACATCACTCTCAACCCAAAACCTTAAAGCAATGGTTTAATGGGTCTTCACCTTTATATGATGCTCCACTTATTCATTTCTACCCAATGTGAGACTTAGACTCATACTTGGATTCCCAACACATTGTTCCTCCCGCTATAGAGTCACTATCGGACTATCTATTAATTTCTAGTCTTACGAACGAGATGTATATACCTTCACCTTTATAGAGCCGCCCAAATCGATTAGTGATAAGACCAGTTTGGAGTATATAAGTGGATGCAAACCTCAACTTACAAGCCGATTTTCTGAGATTGAATTAGGCTTAAAAGTCCACTTCTTAACAATATTAAATTACCGATGCGCCGCTGCACATGCCCGTATGCATGACCTTTTTCCAGCGCATGTGTTTCATGTCCTCGTCTCAAATTATGTTTTTTTTTTGGCATGACCCACTTGCTGGCGCGCCCTCTGCCTCCTTCCTTACACCCAAATACCCCTATTTAGCCCCATTTCAGGTTCAATTCCCTTAGCTTCCAAAAGATCACACTTAAGTATCCCCTCTGTAGTGACTTTTACCACTGTTTTGCTGATTCCATGTGAAAAATTGACTAGGACGAGCAACTATAGCTCCTAGGCTGTTGCTGTTTAGTTGTGGTTTCAAGGTCAAGGTCATGCCAAACACTTGACCAAACAAGCCAAAGACATTCCCTATAGTGATCTAGCCCAATGGATGCAAATTGATGCCTCTTTGTGTCGCGTTCTCTCCATTGATGTCAAATTGCCGCCTCAATATCATGCTTTTACTACTTGTTATGACGTATGGGACAAAGCCAAGAAGACTCCAATGATGTTCATTGCCTTTACAATGTTTTCTCCAACCTTATCACTTGTGAGCTTACTACAGCCTCAATATCATGCTTTTACTAGTTATGACGTATGGGACAAAGCCAAGAAAGTAGACTCCAATGATGTTCATTGCCTTTACAATGTTTTCTCCAACCTTATCACTTGTGAGCTTACGTGGCTTAGGCAATTACTACTACAACTAAATATTGGGAACATCCATGAAACAAAGCTTATTTGTGACAATCATGTTACACAACCCAGTTTCTTGTGAAAAAACCAAATACATTGAGATTGATTGTCACTTTTTAGAGAAAAGGTGCTCTCTAGAGAAATCTATTGATTTTGTCAACTCTAACAATGGCTAACATGTTCACCAAGTCCCTTAGAGGCCCTCGGCTTGATCTGTAACAAGATGCATATGACATATATGCTCCAATTTGAAGAGAAGTGTTAGAATGTAATTAGTTGTTACATATTTGTAGGAACAGTTACATATTCTAGGAAATTAGGATAATTGATTCCTGATTTAGGTTGAAATTTATTATAATTGATTCTGGAAATTAGTATAAATACATACCGTATGGTCTGTATTAGACACGCAATACATTTAGCAAATATATCTTTCTATACAACTTTCATGTAATGATTTAAATTCTATCATTTGTAACCACATCAGCAAGTTGGTTGATCATTTTCAACATGATGAAAAGGTGTTAGAGCAGGTTCAATGACTTCGTTCTTGCCTTTGACTAAACTGGAGCATCATGCGCACTTCATTCATTTACCAGTATACCTTAATGGAACCATTCTGATACACTTTTTTAACAGCTATCATATGTACAGCCATTTTTTTTCCTTCTGACTCATTCTGCATTCTCTTGTCGTAACTGCACACTAAGCTTTATAGTGTTTTTCAATTATCCTTTTTTATTGACATTTTTAACACGTTCTATGCGAAAGTGTTTTAAATAAGTTCTGTAGTACTGTGTGCTAGCAGTATTTCTGACAACATTTTGGATCCTGTTTTGGTGGATAGGCATTGGATGACAAAAGGAAAGGGAGAGCATGACCTCAGATTGCACTTTTGAATGGAATAAAATAGAAATTACTGAGCTGATGAAGATTTTACAGTCTCATTTATTTATTTATTTTTGTAGTGTAATATCCTATGTGTAGTGTACTGTTGTAAAATCATGAGTGTAGAGGCTACGAAGGTGTATCATGGGAAGAAAGTAAAAACAGTGTTAACAATTTGTTTAACCTAAGTTAACAATATAACATCGTATGCCTGTGAATATGGATGGTAAATAAGTGCTATAGATTCAGTTTAACCTATCCCCTCAAATTTTATTTGTTCATGATTTTTTGTAAGTACAGAAACAATTAAACAATAATTAGAATATATATATATATATATATATATATATATGATTGGACAAAATAACAATAACTAGTAAAATAAAATTAAAACACAAACTAAATTAGAAAAAAAATTATAATTATTATTATTTGTCACACTCAATTATGACAAAATGTTAAACTTTTATAAAAAAAAAATAGATAAAAGATAAAAAGAAAAGATAAAATAAAAATATGTTAATTAAGATTTATTATTAATATATTTATTGTTATTATTTATTACAATTGAATTTATGATAAAATCTTAAAAGTTTAGGAAAAAAATACAAGAATATTATAGTCCATTTCAAAATTATAGAAAAAAAATTAAAAAATAATATAACTACAAAATTTTTAAGTCGAATAGTCAACGTACTAAAACCTTAAATTATTTAACCTAAAATTATTACTTTTAATTGAATATATAAGATTAATTTAGTTTGAAAATAATTTTTCTCTTTTAATATGATTTATTTATTTGAGTTACCTTCTTAACCTTAATAATTTTATTAACAACCAACACATAATATTATTTTTATAGTCAAAACTATAATATCTTAAAGCAAAATTTTCATTTAAACATATTTAAATTTATAAATCCTTAGTTCACTAAGTATCTCAAACTAACAAAAATATTAATGATATTTAAATTAATATACATTCATACATATATATATATATATATATATATANCCTAAGTCCCCAGGTACAATCATATATAACGTTTATATACCGTTTAGCATTTGACATATTTGGGACATTAGTAGGACCCCATACGTCATTATCAACAAGATTAAAAGGGACAATAGTCCTCTTGTTGCTAATGGGAAAATGTACACACTTATGTTTAGCAAAGTCAAACACCTCATGATGGAGACTCTACACCTTTAAATTCTTAAACAAGTAAGGAAAAATCAATTTCACAACTTGAAATGAAGGATGTCCCAGCTGACAATGGTATAGGTTAGCTTTCTCTTTACTGGTTATGGGGGATTCATATATGAGGGAGTGGCTCTTGATAGACTGATTAGGATCCTCCTTCAAAATCCCAATAGCTAGTCTCACACTTGAAATGTTCAATACTCGATAGTATGTTGAAAATTCTACATCAAATTAAATTATAATATAGAAACATGTGTAAACCTTATTTACAAGCTGATTTTATGAAGATAGGTTTAGAGACTCTTTCTAACAGAGCCACCAACACTTGCTAATAAAATTGCATTATATTCATGCAAGTATGATATAATATTTGTGATATTATTATAGTATTTTCTCCTTTAATATTCTTTAATTGTAGTTTTCTGTTGGCTGACTTTATAGATTCTGAAATGCAACATGAGATTAACACATATCTGTCTAAAGGAGAAGCAATATTCAGTGTTCTACTCTTGGTAGGTCTGGTTTATTTGGAAAATCCTTTTATGATCTGATTTTATTCATTATATCTATGCATAATCTATGTGGTTCATGGTGTACATTTAGAGTTCATGAGCAATCCAATATATCTCATGAACCAGCTGATCTCATCTTTTACATAATTCAAAATATCAAATATTAAACAGTAGAAGAATACTTAATACTTAATTGTACACAAACGAAAATCTCTTTGCAAATAACCTGAAACTGTTCCATTTGAATAGGTTTGGCATTTCAGATGTTTATTAGCCCGTTAAAACTTTTTAATTTTAGTCTGCTAAATTTAAGTTCCGAGAATCTTGACGTCTACTCACTTTTTATATCCTTAATAATATCTATTGTATAAAAATATACCATGTTCTCCGTGCATCTTAATATGCATCCTTACTTTTTTCGAATTATTTGCAATAGATGGATTCATCCGAGAATTGGGAACGAGCAACCCTGTACTTAAGACGATCAGGATATCAAATTAGAATTAATGGTACTGAAGCTACAGTAGTTGCTGAGAAATTCTCAAAGGACTTATCGGTATGTCATTCCAACTCCTAGCGGTAGAACAAATAACTATCATAAGTGCCATTAGTGGATTAATTACCAATCATAACTGTATAAAACCATGTACATCACTTCCTAGGAACTTTATTCATATCATATAACAACTTGTGCAAACAAATGTGATTGGAATACCTAGAGTGGAAATCAATCTGCCTAACATCAGTAATCTTCACCTATGATTTGATTACATTAAATAGAGAGATATCGTAGCAGATAATCCTCATTATATTAATTTTTTCCTTATTACTATATGTTCCCGTCATTATAAATAAGAATACTCATGTTTCTACTTGGAATACAGTTACAAAAATCCTTTCTATATGGTATTCCATTTCTGGGGTTCAATCCCCTCTCTTTTTCCTCTTTTTTTATCTTGCACAGTCGGTGCCTACTTCCACAGGCATACAATGTTCTTCCCCACTGCCAGGTCTCTTGGATAGGTTCTGGTTGGAGTCATGGGAAGGGCGGTCACGGTTGGTTAGAGGAGAGCTTTTCACTGCCAAAATTGAAGAAAATGGTATCAGGAGTTGGCAAATAGATGAAAATGGATCTTTTCGCTCCTCCTCCTCTAACTCTTTCTTGCTATTGCCATGAATGCTTAAGCGGATCAGAGAAAAGATATTATCAGATTCACAACCCTAAATAGCTTAACCACAACTACAGTAACTTTAGCAACTATTGTGTTTTAGTTGGAAGACAGACCTTTCGACTTTTGACTTTGGTCCAAGGCGATTAATTTTAACCTTTAACTACTTGCATAATATTTAGGTAGTGTCTATTATTTAGTTGATGGGACAATTGTTTTTGTTTCAACCACTGTTTTACATCTTTTTATCATGAAATCTATAAAAATCATAGTAAATCTGTTATAGTTTTAATGATACAAATTTTTAATTAGTATACAATAATTTTAATAGCAGAATATTTATTAGAAATTTTAGTATTGTTCTATTTTAACATAACTTAAGAATCTCATGCTATATGTGCTTAATGTCTTGTTTAGTTAGTATAAGTTATATTTTATTATTGATCATGAATTTTGCAATATGATTCTCTACCCTTGCAATACTAATAGCTGCAACAATTGATCTTGTATTGTTCAAATTGGTTTCGGAATTGTATGAATTCTGGTTTGAATTGTGAAATCCCATTCAGGTCACACTCCAAAATAGGTCAGGTTACACGGCCCAATTTTTTTTTGAAAAAAAATCCCAAATTTGGTTTTGATTTTTTTCATGAATCTGAGCGGGAAGAGGGGAAGAATGGTCGTTCTGTTCCCTCTAGCCATGCCCACTTATTATTTTCTTTTCCTCACTTATATACTCTTATCCATAACCTCTTTTCTCCACCTATATCAGTCACCCACTTATCTGTCTTTTCCACATGTCTACTTAATAAACTATATATGTTGGTGGTCCCTTAAATGTTCCCTTCTACTCTTCAAAAACACGTTGCTGCTGTCACCCACTTATCTGTCACCCATAACCTCTTTTCTCCACCTATATCAGTCACCCACTTATCTGTCTTTTCCTCATGTCTACTTAATAAACTATATATGTTAGTGGTCCCTTAAATGTTCCCTTCTACTCCTTAAAAACACGTTGCTGCAGTGCCGATTCCTTCCCTTGCTTTACATGTGCTACTGCTGATGAGTTTTCTGATAGACTCTTGCTTTACAAAAATGTATATATCAAAAAGTGAGCCATGATATTAGTTGTGGCTATGGTGAAGTCTTCCTACAAATACACTATAAGTAAAATATAAATTTTGTTCTCATGCTTGTTGGGGTGACATAGCAAGGGATTGATGTCACGTTCAATCCAAAACCTTAAGACAATGGGTTTATGGATCTTCTATCTTGTTTAACTTTCATTCTACTCAATATGAGACTTAGACTTATACTTGAATTTCCAACAAGTTAGTATACAATTCAATCTGATCATTGACCTTGACATCATGTTTAGTTTTTCCTTGAATGTGTTTGTACAGTTCAGTCCTCAAGTGTTTACTTGCCAGCACTTTAGTCCTTTCATCTCAAATATAAAATCAAAATGTGAATAAAATGTTAGCAAAATGAATACATTAAGGGATCAAATCGTAGATATTTACACTTTTGAGGAGTAATGACTCTCTCGAAAGATTACAATATGATCAATTTAACACATCTATTGAGATCAAATTGTATGTACCGACACTCGGACTAAAGTTAAAATGGGTCCACTTTCAAGAACCATATTGTATACTAACTTAGATTTGAGGTGAATGGTAAGCTCCTCATCTTTTCATAAAAGGACTAGGAGTGTTCTTTCTCTCTTTTAATTGGATAGAAACTTACTGGTTATAAGGGCATTGAATTAGTAAAACTTAATAGCTTTTGTGCAAAATGCTCGTGAAAATATTTGCATAAATTTGACATCAAGTTATTGCTTGAAATATAGCTTGATGTATACATATGTTGAGAAAATCATCATTCTAATAAAGCAATTTTTCTAGTTTGAAAATTCTTCAGCAAGATGTTATTTCCTCTTAGACTTACATCACATTTGTTTTATGGATTTTCCTCAGATTAAGGTTCCCTCTGGTCTCTCAGTGCAATTTGTGTTAACATGCTCAGATGGGTCTTCTCATCCTCTAAGCACATATAGTGTCAGGTAATAACAACATTGTTGTTTTTCACTTTAACATTAGAATGTTGGAATGGTATTGATAAATATCATTGGTCACACTCAAAACGTCGTAACACTCAAAAAGTGGTAACACTCCAAAAGTGTACCCTTCAGGATGTCTGACTTAAATTTAGTATCCAGTGGATGCTTCATTAGGTAAACTACTACTAGCTGTTGTATCTGTGATATCATTGAAAAAAATTAAAAGTATTATAGTTCTCTTTCATCTGTCTTATCTCATCGTGTAGCTGATAGATGTTTTTTACTACATAGCTATTGTTCCAAAGTTTATTTACTTTCATCTTTGGTAGTTATTGTGCTCAGTGGTTATGAATATGATTTCAATTTCCAGCACGACAAACAAATATGAATGTTACTGTATTTTACAAACATAATTAACAGTGTTCATTACCCTTTTCTTTGTAGAATGAGAGACACACTTGTATTAACCATGCGATTCTTCCAGAGTAAGGTATTCCATCTATTGCTAACAATTGCCTGACCATCAAGTAGCAATGACATGTAATATTAATCCTAATATTATCAACGTTAGTTGTAAAGATGTAAAGAAGTTGGCGTCCGAATATTCAAATTGTTATTCAATTGAAGTAGCTAGGTGTGTCATATAAAAGTATTTCACTCAATTGGTCCCCAAACCACAAGTCATATATATTAGCAATACAGTTTATAGCGTCTCTTCTAATGGTTACAATACTCTGAGTTTTCTTTTACATATAGGTGACCTTTTAAACTACCTTTCTCACTAGACCTCCCTAACACCTATGCTTGTCTAATTGTTAGTCCCCAATTGATCTACGTAATGAGTTCCTCCTTGTAAGATAAGATTTTTTTTCTCTTATATATCCGTCAAAGTTTGAAGAGTGGTTTGTATGCCATTCTTCTACATACCCCTAAAAGATGTGTTATGAGATGATACAAATATGCAACTTATTAGAAAACCATTCTTCTATCCAATGCTCTTATACCACTTGTTGGATGGAGGAGATTCACTGGGAAAACACAACACCAATAAGATCTAAGTCCAACTACATAAGAGATTGACATCACTCTCAACCCAAAACCTTAAAGCAATGGTTTAATGGGTCTTCACCTTTATATGATGCTCCACTTATTCATTTCTACCCAATGTGAGACTTAGACTCATACTTGGATTCCCAACACATTGTTCCTCCCGCTATAGAGTCACTATCGGACTATCTATTAATTTCTAGTCTTACGAACGAGATGTATATACCTTCACCTTTATAGAGCCGCCCAAATCGATTAGTGATAAGACCAGTTTGGAGTATATAAGTGGATGCAAACCTCAACTTACAAGCCGATTTTCTGAGATTGAATTAGGCTTAAAAGTCCACTTCTTAACAATATTAAATTACCGATGCGCCGCTGCACATGCCCGTATGCATGACCTTTTTCCAGCGCATGTGTTTCATGTCCTCGTCTCAAATTATGTTTTTTTTTTGGCATGACCCACTTGCTGGCGCGCCCTCTGCCTCCTTCCTTACACCCAAATACCCCTATTTAGCCCCATTTCAGGTTCAATTCCCTTAGCTTCCAAAAGATCACACTTAAGTATCCCCTCTGTAGTGACTTTTACCACTGTTTTGCTGATTCCATGTGAAAAATTGACTAGGACGAGCAACTATAGCTCCTAGGCTGTTGCTGTTTAGTTGTGGTTTCAAGGTCAAGGTCATGCCAAACACTTGACCAAACAAGCCAAAGACATTCCCTATAGTGATCTAGCCCAATGGATGCAAATTGATGCCTCTTTGTGTCGCGTTCTCTCCATTGATGTCAAATTGCCGCCTCAATATCATGCTTTTACTACTTGTTATGACGTATGGGACAAAGCCAAGAAGACTCCAATGATGTTCATTGCCTTTACAATGTTTTCTCCAACCTTATCACTTGTGAGCTTACTACAGCCTCAATATCATGCTTTTACTAGTTATGACGTATGGGACAAAGCCAAGAAAGTAGACTCCAATGATGTTCATTGCCTTTACAATGTTTTCTCCAACCTTATCACTTGTGAGCTTACGTGGCTTAGGCAATTACTACTACAACTAAATATTGGGAACATCCATGAAACAAAGCTTATTTGTGACAATCATGTTACACAACCCAGTTTCTTGTGAAAAAACCAAATACATTGAGATTGATTGTCACTTTTTAGAGAAAAGGTGCTCTCTAGAGAAATCTATTGATTTTGTCAACTCTAACAATGGCTAACATGTTCACCAAGTCCCTTAGAGGCCCTCGGCTTGATCTGTAACAAGATGCATATGACATATATGCTCCAATTTGAAGAGAAGTGTTAGAATGTAATTAGTTGTTACATATTTGTAGGAACAGTTACATATTCTAGGAAATTAGGATAATTGATTCCTGATTTAGGTTGAAATTTATTATAATTGATTCTGGAAATTAGTATAAATACATACCGTATGGTCTGTATTAGACACGCAATACATTTAGCAAATATATCTTTCTATACAACTTTCATGTAATGATTTAAATTCTATCATTTGTAACCACATCAGCAAGTTGGTTGATCATTTTCAACATGATGAAAAGGTGTTAGAGCAGGTTCAATGACTTCGTTCTTGCCTTTGACTAAACTGGAGCATCATGCGCACTTCATTCATTTACCAGTATACCTTAATGGAACCATTCTGATACACTTTTTTAACAGCTATCATATGTACAGCCATTTTTTTTCCTTCTGACTCATTCTGCATTCTCTTGTCGTAACTGCACACTAAGCTTTATAGTGTTTTTCAATTATCCTTTTTTATTGACATTTTTAACACGTTCTATGCGAAAGTGTTTTAAATAAGTTCTGTAGTACTGTGTGCTAGCAGTATTTCTGACAACATTTTGGATCCTGTTTTGGTGGATAGGCATTGGATGACAAAAGGAAAGGGAGAGCATGACCTCAGATTGCACTTTTGAATGGAATAAAATAGAAATTACTGAGCTGATGAAGATTTTACAGTCTCATTTATTTATTTATTTTTGTAGTGTAATATCCTATGTGTAGTGTACTGTTGTAAAATCATGAGTGTAGAGGCTACGAAGGTGTATCATGGGAAGAAAGTAAAAACAGTGTTAACAATTTGTTTAACCTAAGTTAACAATATAACATCGTATGCCTGTGAATATGGATGGTAAATAAGTGCTATAGATTCAGTTTAACCTATCCCCTCAAATTTTATTTGTTCATGATTTTTTGTAAGTACAGAAACAATTAAACAATAATTAGAATATATATATATATATATATATATATATATATGATTGGACAAAATAACAATAACTAGTAAAATAAAATTAAAACACAAACTAAATTAGAAAAAAAATTATAATTATTATTATTTGTCACACTCAATTATGACAAAATGTTAAACTTTTATAAAAAAAAAATAGATAAAAGATAAAAAGAAAAGATAAAATAAAAATATGTTAATTAAGATTTATTATTAATATATTTATTGTTATTATTTATTACAATTGAATTTATGATAAAATCTTAAAAGTTTAGGAAAAAAATACAAGAATATTATAGTCCATTTCAAAATTATAGAAAAAAAATTAAAAAATAATATAACTACAAAATTTTTAAGTCGAATAGTCAACGTACTAAAACCTTAAATTATTTAACCTAAAATTATTACTTTTAATTGAATATATAAGATTAATTTAGTTTGAAAATAATTTTTCTCTTTTAATATGATTTATTTATTTGAGTTACCTTCTTAACCTTAATAATTTTATTAACAACCAACACATAATATTATTTTTATAGTCAAAACTATAATATCTTAAAGCAAAATTTTCATTTAAACATATTTAAATTTATAAATCCTTAGTTCACTAAGTATCTCAAACTAACAAAAATATTAATGATATTTAAATTAATATACATTCATACATATATATATATATATATATATATATATATATCAAATTTTATTAAAATATTGCAGTAAATTTTTTCAATGACAGAAACACACTTAAAAAGAGTTCATTATTTGATGAAATGATCCTAAGACATGAAAAACGAAGACTATGCCATCAAGCCTCCTCCTTTATTCAAATAAGAGAAGTTCAATTATTGGAAGCAAAGAATGATCATATTCTTTGAATAATGTCATATTGACACGTGGAACATCGTTGAAAAAGACAACCACATACCCATTGATGAAGAAGGAGAATCACTCTCAAGGAGAAAATGGCTAGACGAGCATAAACAATGATATTTGTTAAACTCCAAAGCTCACAATTAATTGATGTGCACTCTCTCTGAAGAAGAATATCAAAAAGTTCACACCTACCAAGGAGCAAAAGAAATGTGGGATACCTTGGTTGTTACGTATGAAGGATCTAATGAGGTCAAACAAACAAGCTCAGTCCATTGACCAGATTGTATGAGTTGTTTACAATGTTGAAGAATGAAAATATCTAGAACATATTTAGTAGATTTCAGACGATTCTTAATGAGCTCAAATCCCTGGGGAAGTCTTATGACAACTTCGACCATATTGACAAAATCATGTGCATTCTTCCTACACAATGGAGACTACAGGTTACCACTCTTAGAACATCAAAAAATCTCGATGAGATGAGCATAGAAGAGCTGGTCAGAATCTTAAAAGTACATGAGCTTAAACTCATGCAAGATGACTCGATCAAAAAAGGAGAAAAATATTGCTCTTAAAGCCCTCAAAAGGACGCCCATTAAAGCTCTCAAAACAGATGAATCCTCTAAGGAGTCTGATAATGAACAAGACTCCATTAATGAAAACGAAGATGAGCTTTCATTCATATCAAGAAAGTTTCATTCAATGTGGAGGAGAAGAAAAAGGCACAATGTTCAAAGGCAAACACATCGGGTCTAGCTTAAAGAACAAACCAAAAGACAAACGACTAGAAGACTCAGTTGTCTACTATGAGTTCAACAAACTTGGACACATCAAATTTGAGTGTCCCGTCGAAAAGATGAAGAAAAGGACAGTTGGTCCTAGATATGACAAGAAGAAAGTACTGATGAGCACCAGGGAGGACCTAAACATGTTTGATAAAGATAAAGATGCAAAAGTATGCCTCGTGCAGGAAATGTTAAAAGTACATCAGATGACTCTGGTGATGAGGTATATTTTTCTGACTTACACTCGATTACATATTATGAATTGCTTTCATATTCTTCCAAACTATCTAGTACACATAAAATTTTGCAAAAACAAAGTAAAGAACTTTTAGTAGAGAATAATGCATTAAAAGAAGAAGTAACATCGTCTAAGGATGATGTGAAATCATTACAATAAAACATTAACAATCTTAGGGAAAGGCTAATCACTTCTAAAAAAGAAAAAGAGAAAACCATTCTTCAAAATAAAAAAATTTGTAGAAGATACAGTCACAACTGAAGATGTTAAACGTGTTGAGTCCTTTCAGCATGAAAACAATACCCTTATTAAAGTGTTGAACAGAACACTTGAAAGGAATGATAGGTTAAAACTTCGATTAAAAGACAATAGACACCCCTCTGATAAACGAGGTTTAAGGTTCAGCAAAATTAATACAAAACTCACTACTAAAACAAAGAACACTAGATTTGTTAGGGCAAATATCAATACATGAACTTTTGGGAAGAAAAAGATGTATACAACTAACAAGAAAGGACCCAACGCAATATGGGTACGTAAGAGCCAAATAATTCCTCTTGCATGTATGATTAATGACCAAAGAAAAGACCATGTCATGGTACTTAGATAATGGGTGCTCACGACACATGACGGGAGAAAGGCGTATGATCCCTAGCCTAAGGAGTAAGAAAGGAGGATCAATAACCTTTGGAGAAAACCAAAAAGGCAAAATTATCAAAATTGGAAAGATAGGTACAAATCTCTCCCCTTCTATTAATAAAGTCTTGTTAGTAGATGGCCTGAAACATAATCTACTGAGCATAAGTCAATTGTGTGACAATAGATACAATGTTGTATTTGAAAAAGGCCAAAGTAAAGTCCTAGACAATAATAGTTCATTAGTATTTAATGTTAATAGGCAAGGTAACTTGTATAAGATAAATCTAGATGAACTGCAATCTCAAAATGTTTCATGTATAATATCTATGAGAGATGAGGCAATATCATGATACATCAACTGTGGACATGCAAGTATGAGATTAATCTCAAAGTTGCAACATCATGAGCCAAAAGTATCAGTCAATGATATAATCTTCTGTAGGAAATTTTTTTGCAAATGAGATAGTTTAATAGCCTTGTCAACGATTAAAAGATTTATATAAGTTGTTGCTTGACTTGAAAGTTCTATTCAACCTTAAGTCAGAAAACACTAGGCTAGAAAGTTGTAAACTAGAAAAGTTAGATAAAGATCACAACCTTACAAGATAAAGAACAAGAGATAATTGTTTAGAATACTAAGGGAAAAACTCTAAAAGAGTAAAAGATGTGGATGATCGTCTAAGAAAGAGTCAGATATAGAAATTCACAAAAAGATCAAACTAAGATAAGAAAGTCAGGAGAAAATAGGACAAAAGATAACTCAAGACACTAATAAGAAAACAACATAAGTAGAAAACCTACACAAAAATTTAGAACTAGAATCCACGACATATAAAAGCTTAGGAAAACACTGAGAAAAACATATATGCTATAACACCCAGACGCACGACTAAACACTATTATGCCTAAAGAGTCCAATAGAGTTGAAATTAAATGCTTAATGTCTATCATACCTGAAAGAGGTATTCAACATAACTCTCAAAAGCAAAACAGTCAAGATAATGTCTCTCACAAAAAACTTTAAAAAACTCTAATTATTAAAATATAAAAAGAAAGCTTTAACAAGCTAAACACTATCTGTCTAAGAAAGAGACAAAATCAAAAGAAGCGTTTATTAGACTAAACGATACTATAAGCTTAAACAATGCTTTGTCCAATGATGAAGTCTCCATACAATACTTGGTATCTTTAGATTAGAACTTAATTCCAAAAAGCTACCTAATGGTAGAAAATCAAAAAGCACTTTGTTGTTCTGAGCAAGCATCAAATGGTATTAAATGCTCAACGTTCAAAAACAACAAAAATGATATCTGATAAACTTGTAGTTCACCAAAAACCAATCAAATCAGTAGTAAGTAAAAGGAAAGACATTCATGGAATGCTCTTGCTCTAGAAAACTGTGACATAATACATAAGTCAAAATAAATCATGAAATCAATAAGTAAACCATTAACCAACAAGACTCTTACAAACTAAACATACCATCTAATCTTGTAAACATAAAACATTAGAAAATGCCGAAACCTAAAGTAATGATAAGAACACTTAAAATATAAAAGCAAAAAGGACATACTTGTTATAAATGCTTCTATCTTGTGCAAGACAATTACTACAAACATTCATCTTATTAAGCACCAAAATAAACGTTAAGAAAAAGACAAAAAGGAGCACTAATAATATTATCAAAAGTTGTTCCAAAAAGGTAAGTCAAAACTACTTTTGATAAAAGCTCTAAAAAACAGGTTTGCTCTAACAAAGAATACCATCCTACGATTGAAATCTACACCAACAACCAGAAGAAAACAAATCTCAAGAGAAGCTTTGTCAAAACAGTCATATTATCAAATCTCAAGACAAGCATCATCACAACAGTTATATCATCAAGATGTATGTATAGAAGGCTAGAAGAAAGAAGAAGATGATGATTAAGAGGAGAGAAAATATGAAGATATAAAGATATCTCATCATCCATTGAGCAAGGAAATCTCTTCGAAGTATCAATGCTAAACTCTTCCTATCAAGAAAAGGAAAAAGAGAAGAGCTCAAGAAAAGAAGAAGAATACTCTCAAGCTTCATCAAAACATCCACTTGAAGAAAGAGAGAAATAGTGAATTAAACCATCCCTCGAGTACTTCATTGTATTCAATGCTTACTTATGTAAGGAGAGAAAAAGACAAATGAGAGAAAAACTTGGGAGTGTTTAGACTGTTTTGTATTTTAACATATCCTCTCTTTGAGAGTTATGGTTTGAACTACTTGTAAGTAATCTATGATGCAATTTTGGAGAGAATCAAAACACTTACAACTTAACTTTGAATGGTTAAGGAAATCTATGTGAGGTCGTCTAATACCGGGAATGGTGTGAATACTCAACCGATCTAGGGTAATTGAAGATTATTCACTGATCAATGATACTAGGAGTGGTGAAGAACACTGCACAACCACGAGTGGGTGAAACTCAACTAGGCGATATCATGGATACCAGGTTTCCTAAGGATACCAAAAGTGGTGCGAATACTCAAAGGAAATCTTGGTAGGGTTGTCGAGTACCAGGAGTGGTGCAAATACTCAAAGGAAATCTCAGTAGGGTTGTTGAGTACTAGGAGTGATGCGAATACTCCAAGAAAATCTCGACAGGGTTGCTGAGTACCAAGAGTGATGCAAATACTCATGAAATCTCGGTAGGGTTGCTGAGTACCAAAAGTGCTGCAAATACTCAATTGATCCAAGGTAATTAGAGGTTATTTGGTGATCAGGGATACTAGGAGTGATGAACAATAATACGCAACCAGAAGTGGGGGAAACTAAACTAGAAGATGTTTCTCAAATGTACTAGGAGCGTCTAGGGATACTAGGAGTGGGGAATAATACTACGCAATCAAGAGTGAGTTAAACTCAAATGTACTTCATTGAATATCTAATGAAACCCTCTAAGTTAACTTAGGGGAGAACTAAGTTAACTTAGGGGAGAACTAGATGTAGCCTTAACAAGTGAACGAGTATAAAACATTTTGTGTGTTTTAGTCTATTGATAAACGATGTAGTGTAATTAGAGATTCAACACTCCCACTCTCATCATACTCCTCACTCTTTTTGAAGTTATTGCATATACATATAAACATTGGACATGCTGAGTCGGGCATGTAAACGATTATTCAGGATAATGTTTACCAAACAAGGGCTAACAACTTACAAAGTATTACGTACATCATGATTAACTTAGAGATTGTGAAAAGATGTGGAAACACTATTCAACCCTCTCCTCTAGTGTTTTCCCACACCATGTATATATATATATATATATATAGTGCGCGTGTGTGTGAGAATTAATATAAAACTTAAAATATATTTTTTTAATTTGAATATGTTTAACTCTAATTTATACAAAGATTTTGACACCTTGAAACTATTTGTTGAAGATAGATCCGCCATTGGTCACAAGTTTAAATCTCAATGTGTAGTTGTTCAACGAAAATGATTATAGTTTTAAATATATAATTACTTTATTATTTTCCGTTATTAATGTTTAACAATTTTTTCAACCAAAATATTTATTTTACATTAATTATATTTCCATATTAGCAAAATAATCTATTAATAATTGTGAAGGATTATGTACGTTGAGAAATAAGTCGGTTATATATTAATTTATCTTTTTCTTATCTAAACTTTCTAATTTAAATTTCAAATAAAAATTCTAGAATTATTTGTTGAACAAGTATCAATTATCTTATGATAGTAAATTAGATAAAAATAAATTACAATAAAATTGTGACACTAAGACTATACTATTAAGTAAAAAGAGTTATACTCTTTAATATTAATTTTAACTTTCAAATTAAAGATAAGTGCTCGATCAAACTATTAGTATCAAAGTTAAGATGACTAAGGACAATTAGAGGAAATTGTCATGAATTCAATTTCTACTATAAATTGTTTAGAGGAAATTATTCTGGATTGCACCATTATTTTGGTGACAGAAAAGTGAGTCGAATTATAATGAAATAACTTGAGTTGCTATGAGTTATTATAGATTATTCAGTTATCTTGTTGACTTACACATTGACTATTATTTGTTTTTTTTTTCTGATTTAGTAATAAGTGCTCACTCTAATATTATTTATAATTAAATGAAAAAATAATATATCAATGATTATAAAAAAGTAATACGTCTCTTTATTTAACTAAATTTTAATAATAAATATTCAACAATTTTCTGTAAAAAGTGTTTAACAATTTTATCATAATAATATACAATCATGAATTCAAATCAAACTATAAAGCACTGGCTTGATAATTAACTTAGCTCAAATCTAATTATGTTCACATTTTTTTATTCAAATCAAATTAAACTAAACTATACTTCATTTTTATATATAGTTTAAATAACTATTAAATAAATTTATCAACACCATCCCACCCATTATAATGATGATCATAGCATTCTGGATTAAAATTTTTTGTTATATAAAATTTCTCTTAATACCTTATTTATAAAAGAAGTTCATGCATTCAATAGTTTGTTTGTTTAACGCATAAATATAAAATTTCAATTAATACCTTATTTATGACTCAATATAAAAGTATAAGCATTAATTAATTTTTGCCTGAAATCATTAAATATATATTTTTCATTCAATGCTTTATTTATAAAACTTTACAAAATTATTAAAAGAATATAAGACTTTTTTCTTTTTACATAAATACTAAGGAAACGCATGCCACCCACTGTGCATTCACAATAATTCAAAACTATAAATAATTTTATAACAATAAAAAGTAAGTTATATAGCTTATTTTCAGTTAATTAAAAGATTAACAAATTATGTACTTTTATCAAATATGAAATGATTTTAATTCAATAAAATATAAAAATTTGTTAATAAGAGACACATAAAATAATTTGCATACGAAGTGTATCTTAAAACGTGTCTAAGCCATTCTCTAGTAATTCTATAAAAGTTTTAATTGAATTTAGTTTCAAGTTAGTAATAAATTTTTGAATTTTGTTTTTGTTATTTACTATTTTTTAATCGAATAATGTAATTATATTTTTACATTGTGTGTATTTGTCTTTATATGATAACAAAAATAAAACTTAATTGAAAATATTTAAGTTTACAATAAATTTAAAATTTCATTAACCCTTAAAAATAAATAAATTTATTTTTTCTGACAGAAATATGTTTTTATCTTGAAAAAAAATAAGACATTAGGACAAGAAAAAGACAAAAAAAAAGGAACGAAAAAAAATAATAGGCGGGGTAGGGAGGGAAACAAAATTACAAACCCCACCAAGAAATCCAGAGAAGAAAAAAAGAGTGAGAAAAAAAAATTAAAAAGGAAAAATCTTAATGAAAAAAGAAGAAAGAAAGAGGAAAAAGGGGCGAAAGAAGAAAAGCTTTAAATAAAAACCTGAGCGATGGATCACGCTTTCAGGCATAGATACACATAGATTGACAGCTCATCACCTCACCCCAGAGTGGACACAACTTTTGGTGTTTCCTCTTCGGCAGAAGAAGATTTATTTTTTCGTTCATCAGCAAAACCAGAAGAACAAAATAGAGAGGGCACTGCTCAAGGTTGCTGCAATGAAGGGTGGTGCTAAGAAAAAGGCCACGGCGGATGCTCCGGCCGAGGTGGTGGAGCCTTCTGGTGCTGCGGATTCGGGAAGTGGAGAGGGTGGAAGTGACAAAGTTCAAAGCTTTGAGGGGAACGAGGGTACCCAGTTGCGGAACGGTGAGGATGAGGAACCCCAGGTGGAGGATTCTGAAGGGGAGGGTGAGGAAGGAGAAGGGGAGGGGGAACAAGAGTATGGTGTGGAGGGAGATGAAGAAGAGGAAAATGCTGGTGGTGCTTTTCCAGGGGCTCAAGGTGTTGTTCTTGCTGAGAATTTTTATGAAGTTGAAGCTATACGTCGTAAGAGGGTGCGCAAGGTAAAAAGTTCCCATCTTTTCCTCTTATTTGGGCATTGGTGGTGCTGCAATGGAGTTTTTTTCCCCACTTGTTTTGTCTGTGCTAATTTTATCTGTTATGGGCATTTTATTGTTTTTTTTTTTTGTTTCGTATGATGGCTTTTGTGATTCATGTAGTCGACCTTGCTCTTAGATAGACTTTTTCTTGCTGTTTGATGATTGGGGTTTATGTTTTTCTCCCTCTTGTTCTGCTTTGTGTTGTGTCTGTGTTTTTTTTTTCTTTTAAATGATTTTATCTTCCCTGACTTTTTTTTTGCCTAGCTTAATCTGTTATGTCTTTTTTTACCTTTTTTATTGAGTCATTTTTTGGTTTAATGGGGTACCCGGTTGCCAAATAACGTCAATTATGTCGAGGGATTCATGTAGCCGACTTTTTCTTACGTAATTTGTTTTTTAAAAAAATTTATCTGCAATCGATTTAGTTTTGGTCCAGCTTCCTCAGCAAGAGTGAGTTTTTTGATTTTTTTTTTGGTGTAAAGGGCCACCTAGTTGTGTGATTCATGTGGCCTATCATTGGATTTATTGTTGTTCTTATTCTTTGGTGATTGAAGGTTATGTTTTGTTTAATTATTTGATATGTAATGGAGTTTTCTTTTTATAGTTATTGTTGGTCTAGTTTTATCTGTAATGGGAGTGTGTTTTTGGTCTATTTTTATCTTAATAAGGATTCTTGAGTAATTTTATGGTTTGCTGGCGAACTTGATTCGAGTAGCCAGCCAAACTTTGAGAGAATTTGTTGTTGTTGATGTTGTTCTTTGGCCTAACTTGTTTTTTGTCCTGTTGGGGGCTTTCCTTATGACAATGTGGATTTCCAATGCTGCTAATACAGGGTCAAGTGCAATACTTTATCAAGTGGTGAGTGCCCCTTTTGCTCCTTTGTCTTTTGTTCTTATTTATTGACTTGGTTGTGACGAAACGGGAAAAGAAAAATAGCCATCAATCCCATATTGGGGGTGGAAGAACAGAGTGGGAAAAGTAAAAAAGATTAGAGAGTAAAAGTGATAGATGCGACTTATAATCTGATCACAAATAAGGACAGATAACTAGGAAATGGGGGTGGAAGAGATTGTCTATTATGAATATCAAATCATGAAGGAAAACGGGTCTAGTGTGAAAATTTTTATGTATATATTTTTGCTGATCTGTTTATGGGTTTATTGCTGAAGGAATGGGTGGCCTGAGACAGCCAACACTTGGGAGCCACCAGAAAATCTAGTTTCTGTTCCTGATGTTGTTGAAGCTTTTGAGGAGAGGTATTCCCTTCCATAAAAGATAAAAGTTTTTATATCTTTCTTTGGACCTTGTGTTAAATTATGCGCTTAGATGTGAAGAGACATATATTCCTATCATATTTTATGTTTGTGTTCTGTTTTTCCTGCTATTTAGAATAGGTTACTTTGCTTATAAAAAGACTGTAGCTGCCCGAAACTGGATGGATATATATGTCTAGATTGTGCAAAGCACATGTTCACTAATACTTATTTTTTGTGGTTTCCAAGCTTGAAGTCAGGAAGACACAGGAAGCGCAAACGCAAGCACGTGGTGCATCATACTCAACCCAAGAAGAGGCTGGAGCGTTCTACCACTCCATACAGTCTTCGACGCTTTTCCAGTACTGTTGGAAACCATTCACAGTCTGCTCTTCCTGTTCTTAGTGATGCTAGCCTTCCTGTTATTCCTGCCTTTCCGCAGACTGTTCTTTTTGCTGATGAACTGGGAAATGGTGCTGGCAGCAATCTTGAAAGTGCCACACCTGTTATTGTTAACAAATCTCCAATTGTTTTAGAACAAAATGTTGAAAGGAATGAGGAAAATGATTATGATCCTAAGCTTAGTGAGCTTAAAGCCTCTTCTGCCAGTGGGAATGACGCCGACAGGCTTGCAATACGAATTCCAGAGGCAATGCCTTCTGGTCCTGGGTTTGCTGGCAATAATGGTCAAACAGCTGCTAAACCAAAGGTGGTTCGCATGGAAACAAGTGAAAGTGGTCGCTGCCGAGGAGCCAAAAGGAGAAAATCTGGTTCTGTAAAGAGGTTCAACAAAGAGTTATATGCTGGTGAGCCTGCCAATACACAAAACCCAATTGGAGCAGCTGTTGGTACAGATGAGTCAGCACTACTATCACGGAATGCTGGTAGTGGTGGTAATCATGCCAGACCTGCTAGCAATATTGTAAAGATTATAAAACCAATAGGCTATTCAGCTTCCGTAGCCAGCGGAGCGCAGGATGTTTTGGTAACCTTTGTGGCTTCAAAGTAAGTAACTCAGCAAATAACAATAAATTTCACTGTGCATTTGTTTACATAATATGCATGCTAAGATTAGTTGACCTTTAGTCATGTATGTTTTTATGATATCTTTCTTCTTTGATACAGCTGGTCGGTTCAGGAAAGGAGAAGTGTTAATTTTGGTTGCAATTGTGTACTCTTCGATAATGATTATTTTCAGTTAATGAAAAAACAGTAGTACCTTTCTCTTACAATTTATAGAGACAGTTGATCAAGCTTCTAGTAATAAATGAGGCCAGTCACAGATATTTCCAATATCGTTTTGACTTATTGAAGCTTATTTTATTTTTTTATATTTCACTACAAGCAGTTTAAGCTTGAATTTTATTGTGCTGAGTATAGTGTTTTTCTATTCTTTGGTTGATAAAGGATTCGGTGTGGAATATTTGATAGAAAGGGGGGAATTGATGTACTTGAGAAGCTAAGATGTCCACAATTCCTTTGTTAGTACCAATACAATTTTAGCCAATGTTGACAAATGCTAAAACATATATACTAAACAAAATACTTACCTTTAAATTTTGTGGTTCTTCAATTAGACCTTGATTGTCTTTTAGAAGGCCCTACCTGATGACTAGACCCAATAGTGCTCTCATTGGGGTCCCAATGGGAAGGAAGAAAGGCAAACGGGAGAGGAAGTGCCACTCACACACACGTAAATTAGGTGCCTAAGCTAAACTTATCTGGCTTGGCAGGACCATCCCACATGACTTGTATTGTAGTCAACTTGACTGAGAGTTATTTGGTTAAGGAAATAAATAAACTAGCCTCAAGAGAGGGTTGAGGCATTGCTTCTATCGACCACCTTTCATAATGTTCTAGGAAGCATGCAACCTTGGAGTGGAACAATCTTTCAGCAAATCATCATTGATAGGGAAATGAGTCAAGTAAAGAAGTAACAAAGAATGATTACGGTTCTTGGTAAAGAGAAGAAACAAGTGTAGCAATAATATCATATCAAAAGCTAAATCATCGGCGTTTGGGCGAATGGGTATGAGAGAAAAAGGTTTTGGAGTTCATATTTTGAGACAAAATAATAAATTGAAAGAGGTACCCTTGGAAAAAGGACATGGTGTCATGTGTAAGTGTCATTTGTTTGTTGCCGTTAAGATTCAAACATGAGTTTCAAATTTACAAAAGGGGTTGAAAATCTTGGGATCCAGAGGTTGTTCTAAAGAACTACAGATCCTTGCTCGTGGGTGTTGTGTCTACTGGGAGAGTAATGAATTAGATTGGATGGGTTGATGAAAAATCGTATTTAGAATTTATGGAAAGAACTCTAGTTTTTATGAATCATTATTTGATATGGTTTCGGGGGTATTTTCTTTCTTATAGAGTAAAAGGTAGCTTGCTTACTTTGTGCTAGTGCTAAGGGATAATTTGGTTGCTATTTTTCATAAACTTCAATAGATCTTTGGAATAGTATGCTTGGTTTTGAATTTTTTAAAATTTATTGATTGATTGGAAGAAAGGATACTTATAGAGAAGGAAAAACTAAAGCTAGAAAGAAGCGATAGGTTGAATATAAGATCTACTTTGTGGGCTTAGCTTTGCTAATTGAATTGCATATTGTAAAAGGGATAATATTATGTCTTCTTGGGAAAGAAATTGGAGTGGTTTTGATAGGCCAAAAAAAAAGCAACACTTATGGTATCTCTTTGAATCCTTACTTTGCTAAGGTAATTGCGTATTGTAAAAAAGGAAAATATTATGTCTGTTAGAAGTTAAGATGTGTGTTTCTGTTATTTGGGCTTAGTCTATTCTGTATTAAGGGCATTGGTCCATATCTTACAATATAAATAAACTACCCTATGTGTATGCTAAACACACAAGGGATATTTTCTCCCAATCTTCTCTATTTCTCATATGGTATCTAGAGCACAGGAATAGTTCCAGTCAACTCCACGGTCTCCGGCACTCATCACTGTCGCTGTCGTTGCAGTCGCCGCTGCTGTCGTCGCCTCCACCGTCGTCGCCGCCGCTGTTGTCGCCTCCACCGTCGCCGCCGCCGCCGCCGGATTTCCAGAATCGACCGGCGACCACACCATCGGAATCGTCTCGACCGGGCAACCACCGTGGTACGAAGATCGCGGCGAACGAACCACCCACGCGCCGTCGCAAGAGTCACCGCTGCCGCTGTCGCCACGTGTGCCGGCGCGTCGCCGGAGCTTTCCGCCGCCGATCAGCATCGTCGTGATCGCCTCCTCCCCTCTTTCTGGATCTGTGGTCGTTGCGTCAATCGGAGCACTTTGAATTTTTAGGGTTTCTCCCTCTCCATGGCGTCTTCCTCGTCTACAAACACCTCTATTGGTGGCTCATCTTCTGATCCCTCAATATATACCAATTATGTGAATGTACACTTGTCAAATGACAAGTTAAATGGCACAAATTATGCAACATGGGCGTAAGACATCAAACTTTGGTTGAAGAGTCAGGGGTACTTAGATCATCTTACTCAAAATGTGACTACTGCTCCCATAGATGACACTTCCCGCTGGATGAAAATTGATGCTCAGTTATGCATTGTTATAAAGTCCACCATTCACTCCTCACTGAAACAAATGTTTCGATCCTATGAAACATGTTCAAAAGTATGGGCACAAGCGAAGTTGTTATACACAAATGACACTCAGCGTCTTTATGGTGTTTGTCAGGACCTATTAACTGTTATTGGTCCGCGCAATCCTGGTCCTATGGCAGAATATTTGGGTAAAATTCATGCCCTTCTTCATGACTTTAATGATATATTACCTCCTGCTTCCACTCCTGCTGAAGAATTGGAACAACGATCAAAGTTCTTCATGTTGTTGGCATTATACGGACTCTCTGATGATGTTTCTCATGTCCGTGATCAGATTTTGGGTTCTCCTGTCATACCCAACTTTACTTCTACTTGTTCTGCTCTTTTGCGTATACCGAGCAAACCCGTCACTGAGACATCCCCTCATACTGATGATTCCTCTGTTATGGCTGCTCAACGTGATGATCGAAGTCGGTCTCGCAAGCCAAGTAAAGGACGTCCAAAATGTGACCATTGTGGCAAGTTAGGCCACAAAATTGATAGATGTTATGCTCTCCATGGACGTCCTCCTCGACCTGTAGCAATGGCAAATTCTGATCCACCTCCCCGATCACCGTCTGCAGACCATCCTACTTCATCTAATATCGTAGACAAACCTGCAATCTTTAACGAATTTCTCAAATGGTATGAGGATCATCAGCACTCTGGTTCCACTACATCTGCATCTGTTGCACGTACAGGTACACCTTTTGTTGGTCTAACTCACTCCCTCGGACCTTGGGTCCTTGACTCAGGCGCCACCGATCATATCACTGGTAACAAGTCCTTGTTTTCTTCCTTGTCATGTCCGAATAATTTACCCTCAGTAACAATGGCTGATGGGTCTAGAGTCTCATCTCATGGTATTGGTACTGTTAATATTTTTCCATCCATATCCATTGATCATGTACTTTATGTCCCTGGGTCTCCCTTCAACTTATTGTCCATTAGTCGTTTAACTCGTACTCTTAATTGTGTTATTTCATTTACTAAAGATTCTGTTTGGTTGCAGGACCGGAGTTCGAAACACATGATTGGCACAGGATGTGAGTCTCATGGCCTTTATCATCTCCGCCCTTCTCCACATGTTGGCGTTGTCATGGAGTCACCATCCCTTCTTCATGCTCAGTTCGGTCATCCTAGTCTTGCCAAACTACAACAACTTGTCCCGAGGTTGTCCACATTATCAAGTTTGTCGTGTGAGTCTTGTCAGTTAGGGAAGCATACTCGTAGTTCCTTTCCTCGTAGTGTCTCACAACGGGCGTCGTCTCCTTTTTCATTGGTTCATTCTGACATTTGGGGACCTAGTCGTGTTAAGTCCATTTTAGGTTTTCAGTATTTTGTTACCTTTATTGATGACTATTCCAGATGTACTTGGTTGTTTTTAATGAAGAATCGTTCTGAGTTGTTTTCTATTTTTCAATCTTTTTTCAATGAAATAAAAACACAGTTTGGGGTTTCTATTCGAAATTTACGTAGTGATAATGGCCGTGAATACCTTTCTCAACCGTTTAAACAGTTTATGGCTTCTCATGGCATTCTTCACCAAACCTCATGTGCTTATACCCCTCAACAAAATGGGGTGGCTGAGCGCAAGAATAGACACCTTATTGAAACAACTCGTACACTTCTTATTCATGGTCAAGTACCCTCCCGTTTTTGGGGTGATGCAGTTCTCACAGCATGTTATCTTATCAACCGCATGCCATCTTCCGTCCTAGATAACAAAATCCCTCATTCTATCTTATTTCCTCAAGACCCTCTGCATCCATTACCTCTTCGAGTTTTTGGGTCTACATGTTTTGTTCATGATTTTAGTCCTGGTCTTGATAAGTTATCTCCTAGGTCTCACAAATGTGTCTTCTTAGGATTTCCACGGTCACAAAAGGGCTATAAGTGTTTTTCCCCTTCCCTCAATCGTCATTTTATCTCTGCTGATGTCACTTTTGATGAGTCTTCTTTTTACTTTTCACATCTATCTTCTAGTTCTGTACCTCTCCCTGTTACTGTTGATATTCCTCTTATATGTGATCCTCCTGGTGATGCTCCACCCATTTTGTCTTCTCCTTCTTTAGACTCTCCTTCACCACAGGATCATCCTTCACCTCCACCCCTTCAGGTTTATAGTCGCCGTAATCGTCTCCCTCATGACTCACTTCCGGTGCCGCCTCATGTGTCTCCTCCGGCTCCAGCAACTGAGTCTGACTTGCCTATTGCCCTCCGTAAAGGTATACGCTCTACCCGTAACCCTTCCCCCCATTATACTGTTCTTAATTACAACAGATTATCTCCATCTTTTTATACTTGTCTCTCATCCATTTCTTCTGTGTCAATTCCCAAATCTGTGAGTGATGCCTTAACTCATCCTGGTTGGCGTCAAGCTATGATGGATGAATTAAGTGCTTTACAGGAAAGTGGAACTTGGGAGCTGGTCCAATTACCATCTGGAAAGTCTGTTGTTGGTTGCAGGTGGGTGTATGCTATCAAGGTTGGTCCTGATGGCACGATTGATCGTCTGAAAGCTCGACTGGTTGCCAAAGGCTACACACAGATTTTTGGTTTGGATTATGGTGATACTTTTTCTCCAGTGGCAAAAATGACCTCTGTTCGCCTCTTCATTGCCATGGCCGCTCTTCGACAATGGCCTCTTTACCAACTTGATGTCAAAAATGCTTTCCTCAATGGTGATTTGCATGAAGAAATTTATATGGAGCAACCGCCTGGCTTTGTTGCTCAGGGGGAGTCATCTGGATTGGTATGTCGTCTTCGCAAATCCTTATATGGCCTAAAACAGTCTCCTCGGGCCTGGTTTGGTAAATTCAGTTGTGTTGTTCAACAATTTGGTATGTCTCGCAGTGAAGCGGATCATTCAGTGTTCTATCGCCACTCGAGTGCTGGATGTATCTACTTAATAGTGTATGTCGATGATATTGTTCTCACAGGAAGCGACTATCTTGGCATCTCTCAGATGAAACAACACCTTTGTCATCATTTTCAAACCAAAGATCTTGGCAAACTCCGGTACTTTTTGGGTATTGAAGTAGCACAATCCAATGATGGTATTGTCATATCTCAGAGGAAGTATGCGTTAGACATCTTGGAGGAAACAGGGTTAATGAACTGTAAATCTGTTGAGACACCTATGGACCCTAACATCAAACTCCTACCAAATCAGGGGGAGCCTTTCTCAGATCCTGAACGGTACAGAAGACTAGTTGGTAAATTAAACTATCTTACTGTTACGCGTCCTGACATTTCCTTCGCAGTTAGTGTGGTGAGTCAATTTCTAAACTCCCCATGTGAAGACCATTGGGATGCAGTTGTTCGCATACTGAAGTATATTAAAGGATCACCTGGAAAAGGTTTGCTATATGGCCCTAACAACGATACAAAAATTGTTTGCTATTCAGATGCTGATTGGGCTGGTTCCCCTTCTGATAGGAGGTCTACTTCTGGATATTGTGTCTCTATTGGTGGCAACCTGATATCTTGGAAAAGTAAGAAGCAAAGTGTTGTGGCAAGGTCCAGTGCAGAAGC